AAAAAAAAAAGACCAGAGGAGAAGCAAAGGGAGGGGAAGTGAGAGTAACTGCCAAGGAACCTCCCAAAGGAGTGGTTGTTGTCATTAACTTCAGAGCCTTATATAGTATGGAATGTGCCATCATTCTTTAAAGCTTCCTCAATTAAATAGCCCTCAAGAGGGACTACTGAGGTACTTCTTACATTTTCCCTATTTCCAGCAACACTGCATAAACATCCTTATACGTGCACGTTTGTGTACTTTGTAAATATTTCCTAAAATTAAATTTCTGGGAGCTGACTGTTGTGGCACACACCTCTAATTCCAGCTACTCAGGAGACTGAAGTAGGAGGAAGATTGTGAGTTCAAGGCCAGGCTGGGCAGCTTAGTGAGACCCATCTCAAAAAAATAAAGAAAAAGATTCTGGATATGCACGTTTCTCTTTTTATCAATAATGCCAAGCTGCCATCCCTAAAGGCTTCATTAATGTATCTTCCTTAAATGCATAAACCCATATTGAATAAAACCAGGTATTTTTCAGTATGTATCCATAAACTCAATGTGAAATTAAAGTGATGTTGCTTTTATCTTTCATATTAAATTCTAGAGTATCTGCTTGTCTTACCAGTAAATTCAGTATTTCTTTCTTCCTACTTATTTATTTATTTTTTGATGATACTGGGCCTCATGCTTGCAGGTGCTCTACCATTTGAGCCGCTCTGCCAGCCTGAATTCAGTATTTCTTAAAGGTTTATTTCCAATTGTCATATGCTATCCAACCCTTCTTCCCCCATTCATATGTTGAAATCCTAACTCCCAGGGTGATGGTATTAGAAAGTAGGAATTCGGCTTTCTAGAAGTGATTAGACCTTCATGAATAAGCTTATAAATAAACCCAAGAGAGACCCTCTCAGCCTTCTGCCATGTGTGGCTGAGATGAGAGACAGCTGTATATGAAGAACAGGCTCTCACCAGTCACCAAATATGCCAGCACCGGCACCTTAATCTTGGATTTCCCAGACTCCAGAACTGTGAAAAATAAATGTCTATTTATGGTATTTTCTTATAGCACCCTGAGTAGACTAAAACATTCTGGGGGTAGAGGGTGGGTAGGTAAGACGCTTGCTTAGTGTGTATGGGACTCTGGGTTTGAGTCTCATGCAAGAAAGAAAAGCACCAAGAAAAAAAAGAAAGGGTGGGGGTGGGGGGCTGAAGGCATGGCTCAAGCCATAAAGTGCCCTGCCTACCAAGTGCAAAGACCAGAGTTCAAAACCCAGTACAAAAAAAAAAAAAAAATTCCAGAACCCCAGGGCCAGCAAACAAATCCAGGGAGATTATGTAGTTGAGTCATTCCTGTTTGTACCTGTCATAGCCACACAGACCATTGGGGAGAACTGTGATGTCACTCAAGGGCACAGGTCCTTGTGCTGACTCTTGGGGGAGGAGGGATAATCACCCTAATACACTGATAAACTCTGCAAACAGGTAAGACTCTGCTCCAATACTCAGGGGAGCTAGCTGCTCCAGGAGCAGCAGATCAGGGCTGGCTCCAAAGTCTATCACTTCACACACACAGATCCCTTCCTCTCCTTGGAGATAACTGGGATCCCCTAGGGAGTGGGCACATTTCCTCTTAAACTCTCCAGAGGAAAGTTTAAGGACCTATACTTGAGGTGGTTATTTTCCTCTGTTTTTAAACTTTAGCATGTATCGTTCCAGGAAATATTGTACTCCTTACTTCAAACTGTAAACCTATGCAACCATACCTCATGTTTATTGAGTGCTAGGCACTGTTGTGTTTTATTTACATGATTTCCTTTGTACATCTTAATCCCAGCCAAGGGAGAGACTGTCCTGAGGAAGGCTGTATAGATGAAGGTGGTTACACCTTTGCTGCAGAGAGGAGAGGGGGTTACCATTGATGACTCAAAGATAATTTTTTGAGCTGCTCTTTTGCCAAAGAAGAAATACAATCTTTGGCAGGGAACCCCATATACATCAAATATAAATTGCCTAAGAGTATCTGGGTTGGCTTGCTAGGACTGCTGAAACTAAGTATCACAGACTGGCTGGCTTAAACAACAGGAATATATTTTCTCACCTTTTTGGAAGCTAGAAGTCTGAAATCAAGGTGTGTTGACAGGTTTGTTTTTTTCTGCAGCTCTCTACTTGGCTTGCAGAGGGCACCTTCTGGGTAAGATGTGTCACCTTTCAGTTTTCTTACCTGTAAATTGGGTAATAGGATCTATACATAGGGGTAATATGAGGATCTTAGGTAAGAAAATGAGTAAAACACAACAGTGCCTAGCACTCAATAAATGTGAGCTATGGTTGCGTAGGTTTACAGTTTAAAGAGTACAATATTTAGTGGAGTGATACATGCTAAAGTGTAAAAACACAGGAAAATGACAACCTTACATTTACAATGTGACTTCTATGATATAAAGAAGGGAAGAGGATTAAGGAAAAGTAGCAGTGCCTTTTTTTTTTTTGGCAGTACTGGGGTTTGAACTCAGAGTCTCACACTTGTTAAGCAGGCATTCTTACCACTTGAGTCACTCCACCAGCCCTACTTTTTTTTTTTTTTGTGGGACTGGGGTTTGAACTCAGGGCTTCAAGCAGCCACTCTAGTGCTCAAGTCACACCTCCAGTCAATTTTGCTCTGGTTATTTTGGAGAAGAGGTCTTACAAACTATTTGCCTGGGATGGTCTTGAACCTTGATCCTTCCAATCTCAGCCTTCCAAGAAGCTAATATTATAGGAGTGAGCCGGTAGCGCTTGACTGCCTTGCTGCAGTCTTGATGATGTTTTAAACTCACTGGTGGCTACATGTTTTCCTTAGGATGTGCTAAATATATTTATAAGAGGTCATTGTTTTGGACTAATCTCCTGTGCTAGGCCCAACGGACCAAACCAAAACCAAGGGGAGTCACATTTGCCTAAGTGCTAAGTATTTGAACTGAACTTGGAAATGGGGCCTATTTTCCAAAAAACAGCAGATTCACAGGGACCAATCAGAAGAGGCCCAGTTTACCAGAATATCCAAGGAAGTCCTCTGTTTTGACCCTATGAGGAAAGTAACTTTCAAATAAAGTCCCTTTTTTGTTCAGTTTCTGCTCTTTCTAGCTCCTCTCTGCCTATAAAGCCAACTTCTCAGCACAAAAGCCAACTAGATCTTTAAACTAAAATTGTTGTAATTTTGTCTTTTGATAGTCGATATGCATGTATGAACTATTTCAGTGTAACAGGTACTGAGAAACTGCTTTTACCAAAAAGCAATGACTCCTCACTTAGGCCTGCTAATGTTCAAAGAGTAACTAAAAGCAGGAGAAAAACTTGGCATCTCTGCCTCCATTTTACATCTGTTTCTTTTACTCTGAGTATCTCTTGTGACAAGAGTTGAAACTGCACCCCCCCCCCACAATGACTTTCTTATCATTATCAGATTACTGCCTTCAAGTGATGACAGACATAATAACTTCCCCAGAATCCCTCAATAAAGAACAATGAGGCCACACTTTGTAGGGAATGCTTAATAATTATGCAAACCTCTCACACCTGCTCCAATTCAACCTAAAATTCATGTCCATACCCCAAAGAGAGTGAAGTGCTTACTTTGTGTCTTCCTGAGACACGCCCATGCTGGGTAGTAAATCTTTCTCTTCCCTTCACCTCTACTCTGCTCTTTATTTGGCATATTGGGGTGAGTGTCCAGACCCCACATGTGGAACCTGTGGAGTTGGGCCTCTGGCCTAGAACTTTCAGTTATGATAGTTTTTTTTTTTTTTTTTTAAAGAAAGACCAAGCCAAGTGCTGGTGGCTCAGCTACTCAGGAGGCAGAGATCAGGAGGATCATGGTTGAAAGGCAGCCCCCGGCAATTAATTCTGAGAGACCCTATCTCAAAAATACCTAACATTAAAAAAAAAAAAAAAAAAAAGGGCTGGTGGAGTGGATCAAGTTGTAGGCCCTGAGTTCAAACCCCAGTACCGCAAAAAAAAAAAAAGAAAGACCAAGATGGGGTGGGCTTGAATTCCAAAAGACAGGAAGGACTTCTCCCTAGTTCCTTTTGTGTGATTTGAAGTTAGGGGTGGGCAGAGGGAGGATCCAGAAGAAAGAATCCTGGAGCCACCCCAACATTTTACCATGGATTCCTTCCATCATTCAGCTTTTGGTTTGGGCATCACTTCTTCAGTGAAGCCTTCCTTGACATCCCTTTCAAAACACACTTTTTTTACAATTCAAAACATACTTTTATTGTCTTACTCTGTGGTTTTGATCATAAAAATAAATATTGGTGGCTGGTTTTGAAAGTAACACATATAGTATGTAGTGTATGCATTCAACAACTGACATTTCTTTCTTTTTTTTTGCTGTGCCATTTGCACCATTGGCAAAATCTCTGTTGGGTTTTTTTTTTTTTTTTTACTTTACATTTACTTACATGTGTATACGTTACTTGGGCCGCCTCCCCCTTAAAAAAACCCATACTTTTATTCACTAACACTGCACTATTTTGTTACCTTCACAGCACTTGTCACTCTGAACTGTTCTAGTATTATTTCTTTTACCCGATAGGCGTCTATCCCCACCACTGGAATGCTCTCTCTTGTTGGCAGTTCCCAGTATTAGGTCCTCAATTACTTGTTTTCGTTTTTGGAATGGATGCACGAATGAGTGAATGAGTGAATGGGATCCTTTTTTCCATCCCTAGACTACCTGGATTTTTAGGAAGTGGGTGACATGTTCCTTTGCACTAGCCTGGGGGACAGAGGTAAAATGAGGACAGCCTAAGAGGGGAGGAAGACTGGACTAAGAAGAAGGTGAATGACTGGACTGCAACTGCGAAGTGAGTAGCGGTGGCCGAAGGTGGTGTTTCGGGGGGAAGGGCCAAGGGCCTGGCACCCGTGCAGTTTTAAGAACGAAGTGCTCGCGAGCCGAGCCGGGAAGGGGGCGGGGCTTGCGGGGGCGGGGCCTGATGCTGGGGGTGGGGCCGGGCGATGGGCGTGTCCGCGTGGGGGCGGGGCCTGCGGGCGGCGACTGCGGCGGAAGATGGCTGCGGCAGAGGCGGCGGACACCCAGCTGATGCTCGGAGTCGGGCTGATCGGTGAGGACGCAGGCGTCCTGCCCGGCAGGTCCACACCCCAGTTGAGCCTCGGCCGGGGACGCTCTGGCGCCGCCCGCGAGGGGAGGGCGCGGCGTCCTCGGCGTTGAGCCTGGGCCGGGGGCTTTGGGGCCCGGCCTCCTCGGCGCGGGGACCCCGCCCGCCGCCCTGGCGGGTCGGTCCTGGGCCGCGCGTGGGGCCTGCGCAGCTGGAGGCGGCCGAGACCGTCCAGGTGCTGGGCCGAGCTCCTCCTGCTGACCTGGGGCTGGCTGCCCCGCGGAGCCCGAGGCCTGGGCGGGGCCCGCGGCCGCCTCGGAGCAAGGGGATCCCGCGTGCCTGGCCGCCCTCTTCGGCTCCCGGAGGCTGCATGGTGGGACCCACGATCGTCTCCATTTACCGCTCACCGGGGGAGGGGGTAGCATCGAAGGGAGGCCCAGGCTGTTATTGATGCACGACACACGGTAGGAAATGGCAGCGCCGGGAGTGGGACTCCTGCAGGGTAGCCCCCGAGCCCCACTCCCACCGGTGGAGAACTCCAGCGTCACGTGACCGAGCGCGGGCATGCAGCTGGAGTTCCTGCGCTATCACGTGTAGGATCCCTCCCGGTCAGTGTCGAGGAGGACATGGGTCCGGGGAACTCTCTGGGGTCTTCGAGCAGCCCAGTAGGTGTGTGGCAGCCGTGGGCAGTGCTCCAGGGGTGGATATTTCAAAGAACCATTTGTCCATAGGTGACAGAGCACCGGAATGCTTGAATGAGTAAACGTCTGTCGTAACTCTTCTGAGATTTCAACATACCCCTAAAGCCAGTGTACAAGAACATTGCTCAGGCTTATCAAAACTGGATACGTGTGATTATTTTTCAGTGTCTCAAAGGAGTGCGTTTATCTAGGAACGGCTGCCTGTATTCATTTATTTTTTCTTTTCTCTTTTTGGCGGTACTGGAGTTTGAACTCAGGGCTTCATGCTTGCTAGGCAGGCACACCACCACTTGAGCCACTCTGCCAACTTCATTCCTAATGAGTTTAAAACTGCTTCAAAGCAAAGCCTGAGTATCCCAGGCCTATCTTAGTTTTGATAGAAGGTACTTCTGAATTAAGGTTGAGTTAAACTCTTGACTTTACCTACTAACAGCGAAGAAAAAGAGGATGAGTTTTGATCATATATTTTTATTTTTCATATTGTCATGCACAAAGAAAGGATTTGTTTCAAAATTAGGTCTGGTGGAGTGGCTCAAGTGATAGAGGCCTGCCTAGCAAGTGTGAGGCCCTGAATTCAAACCTCAGTACCACCAAAAAAAAAAAAAAAAAAAATCAAAATAAAGGGGGTACTTGAGGTACAGTGACACCCATCTGTAGTTCAAGCTACTTAGGAAGTTGAGGAAGCACCTCAGGCTTTTATTATTAGCACATTTTTCCTTTTTTGTAACTGAGGTATTTCCTTTGGTGATAAAGGCACACTATGACCGGATAACACTAAATATTATCTTTTAAAATTTTGTAGGGGTTGAAGATGTAGCTCAGTGGTAGAGCACTTGCTTAGCAGACAGGATGCTCTGGTTCAATCCCTAGCACTGCAAAAAAGTGAACAAAACACAAAATTTAAATACAGAATGCGCACAACTGGTGTGACATGATTTGAAAGAGATGTGACCATCCCTTCATTTCTTTTTTGTTTTGTCCTGTGCTAAGGATGGTACCCAAGGCTTCATACTTGCACTCTGCCACCGAGCTACATCCATAGCCTTCTCTTTCATTTTCTGAAACAGCCTTTTCTGTATTTATTACAGATTCTTCCCACTAGATAAAAAACTTAGGGCAATTATAAATTACTAAATGTATGTGTGGAAGAGTAGGGAAGAAGTCTATCAAATATCTAAGGCTAAATTTTCATTCCTGATTTGTTATAAAAAGCTTTTTACTCAGGGGGCCTAAACTTTAAGATTTTAAATTCACAAGAGTTTGAGGTCTCCAGTTCTGGGGTTGCTTTGTTAAATGGGGTATTAACACTGATTCCACTAAGTGCTTCTGAGTAACCAATCAATTCACATCCTTGCTGCTGTTTGACATTCTCACAGTGACCATCTTTCCACCGTAGAAAAGGACACAAATGGAGAAGTTCTGTGGGTGTGGTGTTATCCTTCCACCACAGCTGTGTTAAGGAATCTGCTGCTCAGAAAATGCTGCCTTACAGATGAACGCAAACTCCTCCATCCCTTTGTCTTTGGTCAGTACAGAAGAACATGGTTTTATATCACAACAGTTGAAGTTCCAGATTCTTCAGCTTTGAAAAAGGTATTTCAAGTCATCTAAGATTATTCCCATCACTCTTAGCTTTAGACATGATCATTTATGATGCACTTTTGAAAACATGACCGACTACTCTTCATGGAAACGCTTTCTTTGGCACTGCACTCTCATTCGTTTTACAAATAGGTATTGTGTTGGTAGTGGTGACTCCCTTTTTTTTCTTAATGCTACTGGGATCCAAACTCAGGGCCTCAGGCTTGCAAGGCAGGCGCTCTACCACTTGAGCCACTTCACCAGCCCTACGGTGTCTCCCTTTATCGAGGTAATAGTCTGATGGAATAGAAATATAAAAACAGTTTCAAAGCCATGGCTCTGATTAAAAGTGGGAAATATATCCATAATTAAGAGCTATTTTAGAGGATATAATTATTTTTGGTGGAGTTAGAAAAATTTTCCATTACTTTGTGGATAATAAGAGTAAAAATTTAGAAATGATAAGGGAATTGGTGTAGGCTTTTTATTAGTGTGTGGTTTGATGCATAGTTCAGTGTGACTTGGAGAAAATTATTATGTAGTTTTTATGGACTTTCCAATGTCAAGTACATAGGTTTTTTTTTTTTGTTTTTTTTTTTTTTGTGGTACTGGGGTTCGAACTCCAGGCCTACACCTTGAGCCACCCCACCACCCTTTTTTTATGATGGATTTTTTTGGCGGCCTTTGAACCGAAATCCTCCTGATTTCTGCCTCCTGAGTAGCTGGGATTACAGGCATGAGCCACCAGTGCCCAGCTATAAGTAGATTTTTCAAAGGAAGGAATATTGGAATGAAGTGCCTGAACCTCTGGCATATACCTGGGGTACTTCTTTTTCTTTTTCAGTTTTTATTTTTTTTAGCTATAATGGGACTTTATGAAGCATGTCTAGAATGTTTAAATTTAAGCTGGTATTAATCTGATTTGGGATTGTATTTAAAATAACAAGAACACCACAAATTTAGAAACTGTTACAGGTTTAAGACAAAACAGAGACTCATAATTAGAAAATGTGAATTTGAGGCTGGGCATGGTGGCTCACCACTGTAATCCCAGCTACTTGGGATGTGTAAATAGGAGGATCAAGGTCCAGGCTGTCTGGGGCAACAACAAGAGGCTGTATTTGAAAAATAACTAAACCAGAAAAGACTAGAGTGTAGCTCGAATGGTAGCATTCCTGCCTATCAAGCTTGAGGTCTGTAGTTCAAACTCCAGTACTGCCAAGGAAGGAGGGAAGGAAGAAGGAAGTGAGGGAGGGAAAGAGGGAGGGAGAAAGGGAGGAGTAAGGAGTACATTTGCAAGAAGTTTCAGTGTGTTGTAATCTTTGTTTTATGTGCAGTAAGTTCTTACTGAAAAGTTTTGAGGTAGCCTCAAGTGGATCTGTCCCATGTTTTGCATCACAGACTGCAGAGTTACAGGAGCACTGAAATCACATTTTTCAGATTTGAAAATAACAAGATTTAGATATAGCTCTTATAGTTCAAAATATGATTTAAAAAAATTTTTACAAAAATGTATTTCTTCAGCTGGATTCGGTTGTGTAACACCTCCTAGCACTCAGGAGGCTAAGACAGGAGGATCGAAATTTAGAGGCCATCCTGGGTTACATAATGAGATCCTGTCTCACAAAATAAATAAATAAATAAACAAATAGAGAAGCAAGTGAAACTTTTTACATTTTGGTCTTTTTTTTTTTAATGCTACTATGTCTCATGCAAGGGGTTTGCTAGAACACAGTAATAAAATCACTATTAAAGTATCTGTTACATTCTATTAAAAGTGTGTTTTAAAATGTACTGTTTCTGTTTCTTTTGGACAGGTGACCCATTTTTCTATTGTTCTGACCGCCAAAGATTTCAACCCAGAGAAATATGCCGCTTTCACTAGGATATTGTGCAGGTCTGTATGAAAACCATGCTAAATGCTAATACAGCAAATGAAGATCTCACTCAGTAGTGATGACACAGCAGATTTCTAGACAGGGGAAGAAAATTGTAGCACTCTCTCAGCAGCTTTATCTGTAGTAGCTTGCAAAGGCTGTTTTGTAAAGAGGATCTTTCTCTTCTGCTTTGATGATTTCTCCTCTGGTTGGGAAAATGGGCTGGGAGGAAGAGAAAAAGCGATTTGCCCAGCTGTTACACTTCCTAAATGTCTTGGGTTACTTGCCACTTTTCATCTGTTACTTCTACTTACCTCCCATCTAGAAGTTTCCTTGGCAGGATGGATAAGTTAAGGGCCTTATGAAGTTGTCAGGTACTTCATCTATATTAAGGTCTGTGTATGACAGTTATTTTTGGGAGAGTTAGTGCCATACTGAATTATGCTAAAGCATAGGGAAACATCTCTTAGCTGGGATGCTGAGGGGCTAGGAAATGCTGATGGATCAATTTATCATGATACAAGTCCACTCCTTTAGTTTTAGTCCAACTGTTGAAAATGTCTATCTAGAATGCACCAGTCCACACTTGTCTTGTTAAATATGTGTAATAGACCTAATGAAATCTTTCTTACATCTTAGGGGCATTGACTCCTTTAATGATAAAGGTTTTTACAGGGTTTAGTTGATTGTTGTTGTTTTAATATTATCACTAGGTAAATTGTAATTCTAGACGTCATGTATAAGCTCGGCCCTCTGGTTCTCACCTGAAATGGTTTTCTGGGAAGGTGAAGGGAATTGTTTGTTTTTCCCACTCTAAACCCAATAAATGGTTGGTGGCTGGTAGAGTGACTCAAGAGGTAGAGTACCTGCCTAGCAAATGTAAAGGCCCTGAGTTCAAACCTCAGTATCACTGAAAAAAAACCCTGCCTACCAATAAATGGTTGCCTTTTACACACACATATCCCAAAGAAGAAAATGACAGACAAAACCTTCTCATTACCTAGGAGATTCAGTTCGTTAGATTATATTTTGGCAAAATGAGGTTTTACCGGGCAGGCGGAGTGGCTCAAGTGGTAGAACACCTCCCTAGCAAGTGTGAGACCCTGAGTTCAAATCCCAGGACTGCCAACAAAACAAAAACTAAATGAAGTTTTACTATTTATGCATCTAGGCACAATGCAGAAAGCCTTCTTGCTTTTGTAAGATAAATTCCAGGTATATGCCTCACTGTGGAATATAAACAACTATCTGCAGGTGTGGCACTAACACAGGGGAGGTTATTGCTAGAAGAGACGCTATCCAGAAGCCATAAACTAAAACTACTTCAGAGGTGTTCTGGACAAATACTGGGCTCTCATTACATTTGGTTGAGTCAGGGTTAGGTTACTCAGCTGAATTCCTTGGGAAGTATTCTGGGGCCCAGAAGGCAGGGTTGCTTCAGACTCCACTTCCTGCCCTGGAGGAAGCCTGAGGGTTCTAGCTTCTGCACCATGGCACTGTAGCATTCTGAATTCTTGTCCCGCCACAAGACAGAAGGAATTAGGACTCAGCTACTGCTAGCCACCTCCTCTGCCTCCTGCCCCTTGTATTTGTGCTCAGTCTCGTATGTACACAAATAAACTTGTGCATACTTCCACACTTCCCCACAAATGCATTTTCACTCAGACACTTATATGATGATAAGGCAACCGTGGAGATGCACCCTTCCATTTCCAGGGAAATAAGTAGGCAGGTGTGCCTCCCATGGCATACTACTTACTGTGATAGCAGAAGCCATATGGGAAGAGTTCAGTCCCTGGGTAGTGTCCTCTACTGTGACTCCCTTAATCCTCTAGTTCCAGAAGCTAATGACTCATTTTGTGCATACTTGGAATCAGCTGTCCAAGCCAGGAATGGCAGCCTGTGGGTGTCTGAACAAGGTAATCTGGATTGTACTCCATAGTTCTCCCATAGAGTAGTTTTTGGGGGTTCCTCTCTATTCTGTCTCTGATGGCACAGGGTTGTCACCTCGGAAGTTATCTTATCCCACTTCCTGTATATTGTTTCTACTTCATAATCTTAATGGCATTTTTTGTTGGTGGCAAAAAAGCCTACAATAAAAAAAAATCAGCCATATGGAAGTGTACAACAAAAAACAGTATCTCTTCCCCTAGCCACTTCCAGTTCAAGTGGCCTTACACATCAGTTTTATTTCCTTCTTGTTTTTCTGTCACATCAGCTGCTGGCCCAAGTAGGCCCAATTGTGTTTCCTTTTTTTTTCCTGTGCTGGGGCTCAGACCCAGGGCCTTCTGCAGGCTAAACACACCTCTACCCCCATCATGATTCTCAAGCAAAATGTAGTTTTAATCTCCTAGGAAGAGATGCCAAGGGGAAGAAACTGACACCCCATGTGAACTATAAACGCAGTGAGTTTCCTGTCAGCATTTTCTGGAAGTCTTTAACTTGACAAACGTCTCCAATGTGCATTTATCACTGGAGACTTAAAAGCCTGGATTTCTGAATTATCTAAATATAGCTACCTCTGGGAGCTGTGATAATAAGTATGGGTTCTACAACTAATTACTGCTTTCTCTGTGAACAATGCATAAACCTTCTTGTCAAAGGAAACTGCAGCAGTAAAACAGTTGTATGACTAAGGACAGTAGTTATGAATATAAGACATAAAAAGTGGTAATATAATATTCTTGGGAATAATGCCCTCAGAAAGTCCATGCTTAATTCTTGTGCCATAGGGAACTACAACCATCTTTCCTAGATGGAAGGAGAGAGCTGCCTTCAAATAATTGTTCTAGATCTATCAAATGTTGTTGTCTAACTGAATTAGAGGAGAAATGCACACAGAAAGGTTCAGCCATTCAGAAGTGCATTAGGAAAGGCTTTAGATTCTTTAGAAAAATGCCAGTGCCTGACCGTGGTGTATTTCTCTATGTGATCCATACCAAATAAAAACCCAATCACTTTTTTTTTCCTTTTGTACAGAATGTACCTGAAACATGGGAGCCCAGTTAAAATGATGGAGAGTTATATTGCAGTTCTTACAAAGGGGATCTGCCAGAGTGAAGAAAATGGCTCTTTCCTTAGTAAGGACTTTGATGCTCGAAAGGCATACCTTGCAGGCTCCATCAAAGGTAACAAAAGAAGAAACAAAATCCCAGGCCTATATCAAAATTCCTGAGCCTAGGTCATTTTCATCTGTATAGCATGTGTTTCCTACATAGGAGGGGACTACACCTCCCACATTTCCCTATTGAGTTAGAATTCTATTGAAGGAAAATATCTTGTGGTATTACTTTCCATATGTATTATTCTGTCAATTGTTAGAGAAATGTTTGACCAGTAAGCTGAATTTCATGGCTGAAGGTCTCCACTGACTTCCATAGTTTTTCTTCCCTTACATCTTTGAAGTTAGCTCTTCCATGTAGAGAGCTCAGGCTTCTGGCCCACAATTCCTACTCCAGCTCCTAGCTGGGAAATCCAAAATGGCCAGAGGGAGCAAGGGCTTACCCAGACAACAAGGACCTCTGAAGGTGAGGCTGTCCTCCCACAGTGCCTGCCTGTCTACTGTTGATCTGCTGTCCTTTCTGGTTTCTAAGCATCTTGTTGAAGCATTTGGTGTTCTTCAAGCTAGCTGAAAAGAATTTAAGAACGGCGGGGTGTGTGTGTGTGTGAGAGAGAGAGAGAGAGTGAGTGGGACAGGGAGAAGTTAGTGGACTTTTTATAATAAGGAATTTTTCATGACATAGAAAGATGTTGGTTCTCCTTCATATCATTTATTCTACTTCCTTGTGAATCCAACTTCTTTATGCAGCCAGCATAGAACCCCTTGTGGGCCATTTGTCAGCAGCTAGGACCCACGTCCCTGTGAGCAACATTGGGTAAATATACCTATCCACCAAATGAGGTGCTTCTGTGTTTAACATTTGCCTAAATGTATCCCCTATTAAAAATAATTTTGTATTCATGTAACAAGAATTGTTTCTGATAAAATTTTATGCCTTTACATAATATTTTTGCAATAACATTATCATTTCTCTTTAAGACATTGTAGCTCAGTTTGGAATGGAAACTGTTATCTTACACACAGCACTGATGCTAAAAAAACGAATTGTCGTCTATCACCCCAAGATAGATGCTGTCCAGGAGTTTACCAGGTATCTTTGCTAATTGCTAAAAAGTGTAAGCTTTCTTGGCAGACAGTTTGGGACACTGGATGCTACTGTGTGCTTTGTGCATTAGTCTGAAGGTAAAATACCATTTTAGTCTAATGTTTAGACTCAGTGGCTCAAGTTCACTGAATTTGGACAGATTCTTCCTTAACTTTAGAAATAGGAATATTTTATGGCAGGGATTTAGCAAAATTTTCTTGCCATAGAGTAAATATTTTATGCTTGTGAGCCATATGGTCTCTGTCTCCATTTCTCAACTGTCTGGGTAACTTAAAAGCAACCAATGATAACACAAGTAAATGAATGAGAGTGACTGTGTCAATAAAACTTTATTTATAAAGTCAGGCAGCTGGTCCATAGCCCATAGTTTCCTAATCTCAATTTTAAGTAGGTTGCTCTTCCCTGTTTAGTTTTATCAGACTCTTATTGTTATAATAAATATAGTGTTAATGGGCGCTTGTGGCTCACGCCTGAAATCCTAGCTGATCAGGAGGATCGTGTTTCGAAGCCAGCCCAGGCAAATAGTTCGAGAGACCCCATCTCCAAAAATCCTTCACAAAAATAGGGCTGGTAGAGTGGCTCAAGGTGAATGCCCTGAGTTAAAGCCCCAGTACCACAATAAATAAATTAAGCGTGGGGGTTTTTTTTGTATGTGTGTTACTGGGGTTTGAACTCAGGGTCTTACACTTGCTAGGCAGAATGGCTACCACCTGAGCCATTCTGCCAGCCCTGTAGTGGGTTTTAAAGAGTTTTTGTTTACTAATTCTAACTTCTTCTTAGATCCCTTTATAAAAGTAGGAGGAGTTACCATTGTGCTGGGTAACTGCATGGCAGGCATCATATAAGTAATACACCTTAAATTATTAAACTTATATGGTAAGAACTCTGCAAGAAAGTATCATTACCCTGTTTTATGAATGAGAAAATTGAGGCTGGCAGAGGCTAAGTGGTAAGATAATGAAAAGGAGAAAGGCTTTATAGACAGAAAGGCCTGGGTTAAAACCCTGGGAAGATAACTTGTTAGCTCTGTGACCACAGAAAAGACAGTGAGTACTCCCGAGCCTCAGTTTCTTTATCTGTAAAATAAGGGTCCTAATACCTATTGGCTAAGTTTATTTTAAGAACTGGAAGTAATTTATATAATGTGCCTCACCCTTAATGCCTGCTTTAGAAAGGATCATTAGGATTGTGATTGTCTCATCGTAAGTGGGGGGGCAGAGGGAGGAGAATTTACACCCTGCCTTTTTGACTTCAAAACTATGTATTTTGCTACCCCATGACCTCTTCCCCCTGTATTTATGCTTCTTAAACTGGAGTGTCCATACCTGCTGAGATATGTCACCTGGCACCAGGGGTTCTTGAAGCCACAGAGATAGTCCATACATCTTCCTACAAGAACTTGTTTTTGCCAGAAGTGTTTTTATGGAAACCTCTGTTGCCTGAAAACACACAATTTGGTTTGCAAATTTTAAATTTTAAATATAAATAACAGATTTCCAGAAAATTTCTTGCTCTCTGGGACACCTTTGGATATTACCCCTAGGCTTCCTTTCTGTGGCAGTCTGCAGAGTGGGATGTTTGGAGGAAAACTTTAGAATCATCACTCTCTTTACAGATTTTTACAGACTTTACTTTGAGCTATTTGTAGCCAGTCTCACCTAAAAAGTAGAGTTTAAAACATGGCATTGTGTTAATGTGGTGTTTGGCGGTTTTAGCACACTTGAGGCTTGGTCCCTCCTCTGCCCCTGACTAGCCACAGAACTCTACCCTCTTAAGTCTCCTCTCAGGAAGAGGAGAACGAGCAGGCAGGTGTCTTAAGGTGTGGGCCAGCAGCCATGTGACTGAGTTCTTGCCTTGATTCCCCAGGACTTTGCCTGCCCTGGTGTGGCATCGACAGGATTGGACCATCCTGCATTCTTATGTGCACCTCAATGCTGATGAGCTGGAAGCCCTGCAGATGTGCTCAGGTACACACGAGCATTGCCGGGAGGAAAAGATGTGCTTGAAGGAGTCTTTTATGTTTTGTTTTGTGTGTGTGTGAGTGTCTGCATTCCTAAAGGAATATTGATCGCCACTATTTCTTCGCCAAATGCAATGGATTTTGTTCTCCTTTTATTTTTATTTTTTATTTTTGTGGTGCTAGTGATTGAACCCAGGGCCTCAAGTATGGTAGGCAAGCACTCTACCATTTGAGCCATACCCTAGCTAAAAAATATTTTTAACTTAAAAAAAATTGTGGTAAAGTGCACATTAAAATTTATCATTATTAACCTTTTTATAATTTTCTTTTTCTTTTCCAGTGCTTGAAATTGAACCTGTTGCTCCATGCATCCCCACACCCAAATTCTAATCTTAAAAATTAGACTGGGGTTTGAACTCAGGACCTTGCACTTGCTAGGCAGGTGTTCTATCACTTCAGCTATACCTCCCCCCTGCAAGTTATTATTTTATTTATTCATTTGTTTATTTTTGTGGTGCTGGGGCTTGAACTCAGGGCCTACACCTTGTGCCACTCTATCAGTCCTGTTTTTTGTGTTGGTTATTTTTGAGATAGGGTCTCCTGAACTGTTTGCCCGGGGTTGGCTTTGAACTGTGATCCTCCTGATCTCTTCCTCCTGAATAGCTAGGATTACAGTGAAAGTAATTTTTAAATGATGTTATTATACTTTTATAATTTTGGGCCAAGTGCCAGTGGCTCATGCCTGTATTCCTAGCTACTTAGGAGACAGAGTTTCAAAGCCAGTCAGCTCTGGGGAAAAAAAGTTTGTATGATCCTATCTCAAAAAAAACCCATCACATCGCTTCTCGTCCTTTTGGGTAAGATCGAGTGTAGTGTCTGTTCTTATCAGTTTAATATCTGATACGTCCTCTATCGAGGACAATATATTAAATGGATTTTTGGAGCAGGGAGATGGAATGGGGCTTGCTCCGTCCACTCCACGCATTGACCTGGCATTGCAGTACCTCCGGGAACGGTGCACTACCACCCCCCTCGGGGACTAAAAAACACCCATCACAAAACGGCTGTAGAGGGCTCAAGTGATAGAGCTCTCGCATAGCAAGCATGAGGCTCTGAGTTCAAACCCCAGTACCACTAAAAAAAAAGATAAGATTTTGAGAATAATTCCGTATTACATTATTATATTTATGAATAATGCATTACATTATAACTTAATATACTTTATAAATAATATAAATATAATAATATACCTACAGGAATCCTAAATTTTAAGTGACACAGTTTTTATTAATTTAAGGTTATATTTCTTATTTCTAAGGTGTAAAAAGTCCTTCATAAAAGATGATAATAGTGGTAGGTACTTTTGTTGTTTTAAGTTATAAAGTATTTATTTTCTTTTGTCTTTGGTAGTACTGGGGTTTGAAAGGGCCTTGTGCTCATTAGGCAAGCACTTAAATTATAAAATATTTCCTACACATAAAATATATAAGACTAGAGATGTGTGGCTCAGTGGTAGAGTGTTTACCTGGCATATTCAAGGCCCTGAGTTCAATCTCATGTACCAGACAAAAGACAAAGAAAAAAAGAAAAATATACATGTTTATGCAAGTCAAAAAAATGAAAATACAGATTTGTGAAACAGATGAAAAAGTAGAGTCTCGTCAGTACTTTGAAGCACCTCATGGGACTGAGCGCTTGCCTTCATCCCATCCCATTCCACCTGTATTTCCACCCAGAGCTTAGTGTTCCCTTGCCTTTCTTTACAGACTCGCTCCCTCCTCTGGCCCTACACATGCAAACATGGATCGCTAAACAGCATATTACTTTTACAAGTTAGCTGAGTATATAGATTCAATAGTGAATTCTTCTGTGGCCTTTTTTTTCTATTTATTTATTTATTTTTATTTATTTATTTATTTATTTATTTATTTTTGCGACACTGGGGTTTGAACTCAGGGCCTCACATTTGCTAGGTAGGCACTCTTACCTCTTGAGCCATTCTGCCAGCCCTTTTGCTTATTTTTTTGTGGGATTCATCCATATTCATGTGGACGTCTGTGGTCGCACTCATTTTTCTGATTCTACTGAATGATACCCAGCAGTCTGCCCACTTGAACTTTTCTAATAATTCACTTTTAAAAACAGTGCTGCTATGAAATTTCTTTTTTTGGTGCTGGGAATTGAACAGGTTGGACTTGCTCTACCACTTAGCTACACTCCCAATCCCTAATTCCATTTTTTTCTCATATGAATAACCATTTGGGCCTAGGATATTTATTGTATAATTTCCTGCTTTCTTGGGTAATCAGCAGTATCTTTCTGTCTTGTACTACAGTTTCTCGTATGATTTGTTCTGGGTCTAGCTTTCAGGAGTAGGTTTTATTTTTGTTGATTTTTTTTTTTTTAATGTCCTTACTTGGTAATGTAAAACTTTAGCAATAAAAACTCCAATCAGGCTGGTGGTGTAGGGTTCAGAGGTAGTGGTTGCTTAACATGTAAAAGGTCCTGGGTTTGATCCCACACTGCAAAAAAAACAACCACCAGCAACCACCACGCCTACCCGCCCAACTTTTTTTTTTGGCAGCACTGAGGTTTGAATTCAAAGCCTTACACTTGCTAGGCAGGCGCTCTACCACTTGAGCCACTCCACCACTTCACTATTTTTTTGTGAAGGGTTTTTTCGAGATAGGATCTCTTGCACTCTTTGCCTGTACTGGCTTTGAACCATGATTCTCCTGATCTCTGCCTCCTGAGTAGCTAGGATTACAGGCATGAGTTAACAGCATCTGGCTCCCTACCAACTTTTGTAATTATATTGATCTATGGGAAAAAAATCTGGGAACTGTTGTTTTCAAACAACACCAATTCCAGAATTCACTAATTCTTTTAGCATCTATCCTCAGGTGTGAAAGAAGTGAAAGAGTATGTCATCCCCATGTTAGCCCTGAGCACCTAGCCATGTGGCTATGGGTTCTGGGGACAGAGATCTGAAGGGGAGATGCTGGTTAAGTGAGTCCGTGCTACCTTCTGTCTCTGGCATTCTGTTTTTTTGTTTTTAACTTAAAAGTTTTTAAAGGAGGAAAGTATATATTTTGGTTCAGTTTCAGAAATGTCAGTCCATTATGATGGGGAAAATGGGGTAGAGCAGAACAATTCATGTCTTGGCAACCAGGAAGCAGAGAAAAGGCTTAACTCAGGGACCTTGCCCTTGCTGGGCAGGTACTGTACCACTTGAGCCACCCAAGCCCAAAATAATACTGTCTTAATAAATGCCCGGTGTACAGCTAATGTTCCCAAATAACTAAAATCATGAAGAAAAGCAGCTGATGAACTGTTAGACTCACTTCTTTCTTGACACTGCTCCAGTAATGTGGTTATCTTTATAACACAGGTTACGTTGCTGGCTTTGTAGACTTGGAGGTGAGCAATAGACCAGACCTCTACGATGTGTTCGTGAATCTGGCAGATAGTGAGATCAGCATTTCTCCACTGGCGAAAGGTGTGTTCTCATTATTGTCTCCTCTGTGCTGTTACTGACATGACATGTAAACCAAGCCATCTAAAAAGCCTCCTTAAGCTGCTCTGTGGAAGCTGGGGAGTCTTCAGGGTCTAGAACATGTCATTTGAGGTTATAAACCTGGACGTGTTAGCAGTACAGACAGGATTACTGGTAGATAATAGCTTTTGTGTGGTCATTTACCTTTTTCCTGAAAGTAGCTGCAGCTGACTGCTGGCTTATTAAGTATCTTTTTTGAGATAGATTCTGGTTATGGTTATTTTATTTATTTACTTTTTGTGGTACTGGGGCTTGAACTCAGGGCCTTTACCTTGAGCCACTCCACCAGCCCTGTTTTTGTGAAGGTTTTTTTGAGATAGGGTCTCGGGAACTATAAGCCCCAGCTGGCTTCGAACCATGATCCTCCTGATCTCAGCCTCCTGAGTTCTGGGGTTATAGGCATGTACATCACACCCAGTTGAGGTACTGCCTTTTGTAAAACCAAAGTGACAGAAAACTGGTGTGGGCAGGTGAAGCATGAGGACCAGAAAGAGTGGCACTGCCTGCTGCTGTCTGTCCTCTGAGTCTGTAACATGGACACAGCCCCATCAGCGCCATTAGAATGGAGTTTGTCCCTTGGAGTAACAACAGAACTTTCGGTTATCTTGCTGCCGACAGAAGCACTGTTAGTAGTTCCTATGAGTTAGGTTTGCTTCCCTCGTTTCAAAGGTCTTAGCAAGCTGAGTGCTCGGCCAGTTCCCATGGCTCTGACGGGAAGCACTTCTTTCACAACTGTTCTGCCAGATAGGTGCGCTCAGCTTCTTAACTGTGGACTTGGACGGGAAAGTCAGCTCGTGCCTTAAAGTCACAGCTAATTTCTAGTCAGGATTTTTCATTCAGTTTTGTCTGGAAGGGGAAATTCAGTTTGGTGTTGATGTGTTTTTCTTCAGGCCCTGAAGTCTAGTGATAGCAATCACGCCTGACCTCCTGGCATGTCCTCACACTTGTGTTTAGTGATAAAATGGATGTGGAGTGCTATCAACTGCTTTTTGAAAATTCCCTCAGAGTGGTCTTTCATGTTTTCAGTTAGATGGCATGGCTGTTTTTTATCATGTAAACTTCTATTCACACATCTTCTTCTTGCTCTTACCAGAGGCCATGACAATGGGCAAACTGCACAAAGAAATTGGCCAGCTCATTGTTCAATCTGCAGAAGACCCGGAGAAATCAGACAGCCAGGTCATACAGGTAATTCCCGGATCCATGGCTTTTGTAGGTGTCCCGCAGCAAAAGCAGGGATTTTTTGATGACCATGGTGTTGATGGATGAGTAGGTTCAGGGATACGGTGGAGAAAGGTCATTGCAGGGGCTGGTGCCAAAGCCAGCCAATGATGGTGACACATCAAAGCATTCCAAATGGACTGGAATGCTTTTGGGGACTGATCAGAACATTCTCTCCTGCTAGAAAAATCTTCACAAAGGAACAAATCCACTGACTCTGGGGAACTAGATAGATGGTTGTAATATAGCTTTGCTGCATTGTCTCCTAATTAGCAGTAACATGGAACAAGATCCCACTGTTGCCCAGTGCAGTGGCTCGTGCCTGTAATCCCAGCTACTCCATTGGTGGAGATCAGCGCCAGCCTAGGAGAAAAAAAGCTAGCAAGAGCCCATCTCAACCAATAAGCTGGGTGTGGTGGCATGTGCCTATAGTCCTGGCTAGACAGGAGGCAAAGTCGTGACACCCTACCTGAAAAATAACTAGAAAGAATAAAAGGGTGGGGGTGTGGTATAAGTGGTAGAGTGAGCACCTAACAAGTGTGAGGACCTGAGTTTAAAACCCAGTACTGAAAAAAAAAAAAAAACAGACTGTCAATCTGAAAAAGGTGTTGACGTATACGTTGCTATTGTTGGGCTTTCGATATAAACATAAATGTGTATGTGACATTTAGCTGTGCTGTAAACTTGGGGGAGAAGTATTCTAGCTGACCAGGTTGAGCACCAGGCTGAACTGGCATTGTCCAGAAATTAATAGCCACATCAGTCTAGAAACATCACAGTTAATTCTGTCCCATTTGTACAGGGTAATGCACTGTGTTAAATATGGAAGGTCTTATTTACATTGGTTTGATTACAGAAACTAATAAAGTATTCTCTAAATGGTTTTGGGGGGGGGGGAAGGCTGCTGTCACTCCCTGCAGAGCCAGCTTCTCATTGGGTCTGCCTATCACGCTGACCAGAATGCTCATGTGCACCAGCACCCTTTCCTCTGCCCTTGCCAGAGTGGGAGGACAGAGTGGGCCTTTCCTTGTGGTGCCAAAGCCCCTCCCCTGGCTCGAGGCTGGCCCAGTGTCCTTTCTTTGTAGCCCCTTTGCCTTTGGCGTGTTCCCAGCTCCTTGCTCCTCTCCTGAGTACACACCCAGCCTTGCCTCTCCTGGGCGCTGCCCATCCAGACCCGTCTCAAACCCCAGGGCCTGGCCTGGAAAGACTGTTTACTTGGTCTTGTCTTCACTTGTGCCACCATGGGGCACCTCTGGGATGCAGGCCCCACTCAGCTGGTCCCACCTGGCATATTTCTTCATTTGTTCATTCACTTATTCTGACTGAGTCCCTGGAGCACTGGACAGTGTGGATCCAGTGTGAGGAAAATCCTGTCCTCATGAGAGCCTGCATTTTAGTGGAGAAGGTAATTGGGAGCCATGATAAACGCTATGACAGAAGCAAAGGGTCAAGGTAGAGAATGTTGGGGAGGGAGTAAGACAGCTCTCTGAGGAGGTGGCATGTGAGCAGAAGGACGAGAATGGGCCACAAGGCTTGCTAGGACTGGCCAGAAGCACGTTCTTATGGCTTAGTGCTGGTGGCCTGTCTAGCCATGTCCAGAAAGGGTGGACAAGTCTTGTCTAGAGACCTGAACACTGAAACTCTGAGGATGTTTCTTTCTTCCTGTGTGAATCAGCATTGCTCCTTATCACCTGCTCTTAACAATGGTGGTGAAATGTAGAGATTTGAATTTTAGACTAGTTGGGCCTGGAGTCTTTGTGGACTCTAATGTATGAGATCTTCACACAAAGTAAAAGTGCTGAAATACTTGAATGAGGCAAAAGACGTGACTCTAACGTGAGCTCCAGTGAGTCGTGAGCCACTCCAAGGTTGTCAGTAGAGGGGCCAGGTCTCTCTCCCAGGCAAGAGGGGACTGTGAGGAAGAGATTTGCTTAGAAACAATAAACATAGAATAACCACAATTCCACAGTTCTCTTTGGCATATGTGGCATGGGTTATTCAGCCCTAGAAAGGAATGAGGGTTTTTTTTTTGGCAGTACTGGGACTTGAACTCAGGGCCTACACCTTGAGCCACTCCACTAGCCTTTTTGTTAGTTGTTTTCAAGACAGGGTCTCGTGAACTATTTGCCTGGGCTGTCTTTGAACTCAGTCCTCCTAATCTCTGCCTCCTCAGTAGCTAGGATTACAGGTGTAAGCCACCGGTACCCAGCAGGAATGAAGTTTTGATACAACATGAATGAACTTTGAGGACGTTATGATATTTTGCTGAGTAAAAAAAGCCAGTCACAAAAGGACAGGTACCTAATAGAAAAAAGGCAAATCCATAGAAGAAGTAGAGTAGTGGTTACCAGGGTTCTGAGGGGAGGGGATGGGGAGTTTTGCCAGTGGGCAGTTTTTTTGGGATGATGAAAAGTTCTAGGATGGATGATGGTGATGGCTGTACACACAGCAAATATACTTAGTCCCACTGCATTGGACCCTTTAAATGGTAAAAATCTGTGACATTGATTTTTCTAAGTCATTTTGTTTTCATAATTTAAAACTTTAATAAACTTAAAAGCAGCAGGAAGAATTCTAGACAAGAACTTCAGATTTTTAAATAATATGTTGCTTTTTATCTTGTTCTACTAAAGGATATTGCCCTAAAAACAAAAGAAATCTTCACCAACCTAGCACCATTTTCAGAAGTTTCAGGTGATGGAGGAAAGGTAGTCCTCAATTTCGAGGCACTAAAGCAAAAACGATTTCCACCAGCAACAGAAAACTTCCTGTACCACCTCGCAGCAGCCGAACAAATGCTGAAAACCTGACTGTGAGCCATACTGTCTTGCTGATGACCGATAAAAAAACGCTTATTCCGATTATCCAGTAACTATGTAAAATACTGAAAATTACAGAGGAAATGTTATATTTTTAATGATTTATTTGAAAATGTTGAGATTTGACCTGAAAAACCCTAAAACGTGAAAACACTTGTGATTTTCTCCCAATTGATGAATTCCTGCCTGCTGCCATGCTAGACAGAGTGCTGTAACCGCTGCGTGGGACATGAATCAGCCTCTGACCTGGAGTGAGGGCAAAAGCAAATCACAGCACACATGACAGCCTCCATTACATGTTCCTCTTTGTCCCTGTATAGCCATAAACTAACCGTTTATTTTCAGAAGGCTGCCTGAAACTTCCCTTTGTACTCTTCTAGGAAGAACTTTAATTCCTTGTGAGGAACTCTACCTTCTGAGCCAAACTGCTAAGTTTTCTGCAGAACTGTCTGGAAGATCATTCATGAGACCCTGCAGTTGCACTTTCTTGTAAAAGAAAAAAAAATTTCTTGGCTTTTGAACATTTTGCCTATGAGGGTTTTGCATAGATTTTATACTTGAGTAGACAACCTTAATATTTATACTGCACAGATGTAAACATCTGGCAAACTTAAGCCATTAGAACTCTTCAGTTAACCCCATTGCTAGCAATATTTGGAAAAGATGCCAGTCCTTGTATGGTAGCATAAATAGAAGCCTCTTTAAATATAAATATCTGTAGGCCTAAAACAATGCCTTCATATGGTTGGTAAGCGAATATAAGAATCAAATTGCAGGGGCCAAACCTAGAGAATATCTTTAAACGACTTTATTAAAAGTAATCTGGCCACATATCAAAGTCACTGTTCCTGTTCACTGTGTACCTTTTATATAACTGGAGATCTTAAAATTGCCAAGTAAGCATAGAGGTCTAAATTATGTACACATTTTATCATGTGTATTTGTATTAATTATGAAAGATTACTTTTCACTCAGTGCTGATAGCCTTTGAAATCTTAACCTGGAAACATGTTTGCAAAACATTTGTCTGTATTAGATCTTTAATCTTTCTCTCTGGTTAGACATTTGTTAAGTAAAAATAAAAAATAGTCTTTTTCTCCTTCCTGGGTAGGGACAGGGAAGACCTGAAGTGAGATGTTTACTGAGGCTAACAAGTGAGAATTAAACTTGCACTTTATGAAAACAAATCCTAACATCTTTTTCTCCCTCATTTTTTTGCAATACTCTATTAGCTAATGATCAAAGCTGTTATAATTACAAATTTTAAACACAAATCAAATGGAAATATTTTTGCAGTCAACAAAGATTTAGGTTGTGAGCAATTGTGTCCTCTTTCCCCACTACCAACCAATGAAAAGTTTTTTCCCAACTGTAATGGCACTGGGGAATTATGAAAAGGCCTGTTGGAGAGTTAAAGCCTTTCCAGGGCTCAGCTCTGCTCCTGGCCTTTTCTCCCTCTCCATCCTACTTCTGAGAGCTGGTTTTAAACACTTCCATATGTCATCTGTTAGTGGCTAAGCCTCCACCTTGGAGCCTTGGCAGCCATCTTGTTTCTAACTTTTAACTTTGGTAGCCTGTAGCCAGACTAGCCACCTGTTAGACAATTTTGGACTGATTTTGTTCTTTTTGGCTGCTGTGAGACTCCTTTTTTACACAACATGGAAATAACCATCTTCTGGCCTAGAGAAAACTGAAAGACCCAAATGCATTTTTTGGTGATGTAGGTGTGTTGGAAACATGGCTCCAGCATCCAAACAGGGTGCCTTCTCTGTGTTATGCCCTGGGACTACCAGCTCTGAAAACACAGTCTACTGGGGGAATAGGACCAGCTGTTGTACTACGGTGTGGTCAGGGCCAGACCTGATATGGGAAACGGTGCTATGGGATCCCATAATAGGGGCACTTCATTCAGTACTGTGAATCCTGGAAGGCCTCCTGGAGGCAGTGATTGATGTTCAAGTCAGTCCAGAGCAGAGGGAACAGCTTGTGGAAGGCCCAGAGCAGCCCACAGCCCATGTAAGATGTACCAGATGTAGGCCCAGAACAAGGAAAGGGAGTGGCAAGAGATGAGTAAGGAAAGTAAAAGCTCTCCACAGCTAAGTAAGGAATTTGGACTTACCTCTACTCACTGGGACTCCACTTAAGGCTTTTCAGCAGGTGTGGTCTAAAGAGTAGCTAGAGCTTATTGGAGGGAGGGAGACAGACACAAGAGCAACATAAGCAGGTGGTGCTGTTGCGCCAAGCTGGCCTGCAGCAGAGGCCAAGGGGTTCTTTCTGGACACTTGACTGGATGGGGCCAGTCCACTAAATGGGGTGGGGTATGGGTGTTGCCAGCACTCCTGCCTGACAGCTGGTAAGTGGCGGTACCATTCCTGAGACTGGGAGGGAGTGGAGTTCAGATGTGGGTGGGTTTGCAGGAGCCAAGTGCAGCCGGCAGCTGGAAGGGGTCTGTTGTGCAGGACCAGGGCTGGACTAGAGGCCCAGCATGGTGGCAGTATAGCCTTGGGATGGGGCGTGGGAGCAGTCTCAGCAGCACAGAAGGTGGAGAGGCTGAGACCCACAGCTCTCACCAAGCTGGCTGGGAGTGGGTTTTACTGCCTTCTTGATGAGGCAGGTGAGTGATGGGTTTCAGTGATCTGGGGGAACCAACAGAGAGGGGGGCTGAAGCTAGAGGAGACCCCAGAGGCCACAGAACAAGGCCCTGAGGAGCAGGGGTGCAGAGCTACAAACAGAACGGATGTGGGAGAGGGAGGTTCTGCTGTTGGCCAATAGCTTTGGCTGTCACAGTGAAGAAGGTGGCAGGTCTTCTGTCAGAGAGGAGCTGGGGAATATGGCAGAGGCTAGCAGTGGCTGGGATCAGGCTAGCGGAGGATTGCTTTGGGGGCCGGAGGCCTTGTTGGGCTCACTGGAGTTCGTGTTTATCTGCAGAAGAGCTATCGGTTCAATGTCTGTGTCCTGGGAAAGGTGTACCCACTGCCTTATTTTTTCAAATACTCAACTTTAGACAAGTTTATTACTAGTTTCACAGTGTCCTTCCACAGGCCGATTCTCACCTCACCCATCCCCTTGCAGCCCCAGGTACCAGATGTCTTCCTGTGGCTCTTCTTCCAGCCTGAAGACCCCAGCCACAGCCAGCCCTGAAGCCAGCCTGGGGTGCAGGTCTCTGGGGTCTCCAGAGACCTTGAGGGTAGGAAAGTTTCCAAGCAGGAGCCAGACAACCTCACCTAGAACCAGCTCCTACACCCCTCGGTTATAGAACAGTTCTGTTTCTTCTGTCAAAGACTGAATTTCCTTTTCAAGCTTACTGCACTGTATCTGAAAGACAAAATTAAAATTCTTTGTATTTCTATGTGTAACTTCCTGCCTTAAAAGCTAAGTAAAAAAAAAAACAAACTTTTTTTTCTGAAAGCAGCCATTTCACACTTCCATCTTTCAATGATGTCTAACTGATAGCAAAAAGTATCACCTAACTTCTTAAAAACATCTTAACGGGAAATTTCAAAGAGCAACAAATGTAGAAAGAATGTAATGAACCCTCTTTACACATCACTCAGTAATACCCATCAGCAATTTGATCTTTGTGGTTCAAGGCTAGCCCAGTCAAAAAGTTTGAGACCCCATCTCAACCAATAGCTGAGCAAGGTGGTTCATACCTGTCATCCCACCTACACAGAGATCAGAAGGATCCAAGTTTCCAGGCCAGCCTGGGCAAAAAGCAAGACCCTATCTCCAAAATAACCATAGCTAAAGGGGTGGAGGTGTGGCTCAAGTGGTAGAGTCCTGCTTTGGAAGCACAAAGCCCTGAGTTCAAACCCTAGTCCCACCAAAAAAAAAAAAAAAATTTCTGATCTTATTTCCTCAAGTATCACCCATACCCAGAAGTGGGATATTTTTCCCTTGAGTATTTTAAGGTAATTCTATGTGTTATTTCACTTACAAATACTTGAGCATGAAATTCCAAATGATAAAGCCTTTTGTCATCACATATGCAGTAACGACAGAAGTTAAATAACCACTGTGCCATTGTTTCACTGTCCCTTGGTATTGTCCATACCCAGTTCAGTCCTGCAGGGCTGTGGCAGGCCAAGGGGTTTTGAAGGGACAACTCCCTTGTCGGGGTGCAGTCTGTGCTACGTCCGAAGAGTCACCTGGGGTGCCAAACCCCTCCCAACCTTGGGCTCTGCAGCTGGGGCTGGTCACCCAAGGTGGCACAGGAAGGTGGGTGCTCCACTAGCCCAGGACTGCCATTCCAGAGACTCCGTGCCCACCTGGGGCCAAGAGGTATTTTCAAGGTCCAGCAAATCTTAGCATTTGGGCTGTGCAGAGAGACAGACTCTGCTTCTTGCCTCTGTGATTTTGGCCTCCAAGTCTGACACAACTTGAATGTCTTGGAGGAGTCCAACTCATCACCTGCCTCCTTGGCCTGGGAGTGTGGCCCTGTCACATGTGCCACATGTGTCCAAGGCAGCCCTCGTGGGCCCTCACTAGGAATGCCCTCTTCCCTCTCAGGTCTCTGTCTGTCCAAATCCATCCATTTCCAAAGGCTCCCTCCTCCAAAAAGCCTTCCAGGATCAGTTGTAGTTCTTCTCTTTTTCTAACATCTTCCCAGTCTTTCCTACATGACCCGTTACCCTTGCTGCAAAAGCCTATGACACACACTGCTATCTGCTTCCCAGGGCTTGTCCTCTAACACAGCCGAGTTTTAAACAGGCAGGGAATAAACAAAGCAACAGTCCTTTGCGGAGACGCTATTATTTTCAATTCTCTTCAACAGATAAGGAAACTAAGAAAACTGACCTATGGGGCTGACAGGGTAGCTCAAGTGGTAAAGCGCCCGCCTAGAAAACATAAGGCCCTGAGTTCAAACACTGGTACCAACAAAAAAAAAAAAAATTAGTAAAAGAGCAGGGAGTTTAATCCAGGCAGTTATTAACAATTATACTATATTACAACATGTAAGTTATCTATAGGATTGTGTTGTCTAATACAGTAACTACTAGCTACGTGAGTATACAAGTTAAAATTAAATTTAACTTAACATTCATGGGCTGGACCAGGAGTGGTGGCATAAACCTGCAATCCCAAGTACTCGGGAGGCAGAGGAAAAAGGACTGTGAGACTGAAGTAGCCTGGGCAAAGGTAGCGAGATCAAAAGAACAAAACACAAAAACAAAAAAATCCAGAGCCAGGTGCCAGTAGCTCATACCTGTACTCTTAGCTACCTGAGAGGCTGAGATCAGGAAGATTGAGGCCAGCCTGGGCAAATAGTTCTCGAGACCCCAACTTGAGAATAACCAGAGCAAAACAGACTTGGAGGCATGTCTCAAGTGATAGAGCACCTGCTTATGAGGGCGAAGTCCTGAGTTCAAACCTCAGTCCCACCAAGAAAATAAAAACAGAATCTAAAACTGCACAAGAGATTTGGGAGATGGAATCACATCCAAATACAGTTATTTTTTCTTATGATTTTGTAATTTGCGTATTTTCAAAAAAGATTTTTTTATCTTACAAGCATGAAATAAAAACGCAGTTACTCCTGGGAGTGGGGGCACTTACCCGTCCGATCTGTGGAAACATACTAAAAGAGGCTGGCACCATCAGTCCCATTACCAGGATGGTACAAGACAGCTTGGTGGTCCATAAGGACCATGGCTTCTGCAGGAAAAACCGGGTCCTGTTAAGAGACCAGGCACAGCTCAGAAACAGTGCTCACCACTTCCGGGCCTCTCGTCTAGTAGGGCCATTGGCTCTAAGTGGCTGATTCCGCCTGCACACAGCTGCAGGCCCATACCTTGGTCGCCATGCAACCCATCAGCAGGCTCTTCAGCTGCACAGATGAGCACTCAGAAGAGCGCTGACTTTGCAAGCATTAAGCCCTGAGTTCAAACCCCAGTTTCACCAAAAAAAAAAAAAAAAAAAAGATAGGGCAGGGATTCTAGTGTACTCAAGTGTTCTACAAGGATGTGACATTGACTCTGGCCTTTGGAGAATGACAGGGACAGTGTAGTAATATGCACAGACCTCCAGTCCAGGGAGTCTGATACCTAGGGTCACTTGGAGGGTGTACCACTCCACAGACAGAACCCGTGGCCCCCAGAAGGGCAACTGCCCCTCCTGAGCACTGGGCTTTCTCAGATGCAAAGTGAGGGAGTCAAGTCAGATCCACTCTAGCTTGGATGTTATCTACCATCACAGCTCTGGGATGGTGCTTCTGTGAGGTCACAGATGGCTCAGTCCTTCCAGATTCTTCCTTCCATGCCCACTGGAAAACCAGGACCTTTTCTCTCCACCATGCAACCTTTGCCATTTGTGCAGGCCTCATGGGACAAGAGCACCAGCTTGTCCCATGGACAAATCTCTAGCATCAAGGCCAGCTAGAGCAGCCCAGAAAGACCCCAACTGAGCAAGTCTCTGCATCCATCTGGTCAAATATTCTGTAGAAAGTGACAGTTGGCTTTGTCCATGGTGCTGCCCCTACTTCCTGAAATGTGCCCCCCATGTGATGCTAGTGGAGCTTCCTAGGCTTGCCATGCTGGAGAGCTGGTGCAGCAACAGACATATGACCAGTGGGTCAAGAGAATGCTCACTGGAGTGTCTGACCTGAGCAAACACAGTCTGCCTTGCCTTGGCATTGCTGTCTGTATCACTGATCGTGAGATGAGCAGGGAGTGATGGGCCTTGTATCTCTCCTCAACATGAAGAAGCCACTCTGACAGGAGAGAGGGATGCCAGTAGCATAGAGTCAAGGAAGAGAGCAGCGTCCAGTAGTCAATGAAGCTTTGGTTCCAGTAAACATAGGCTCCATTCCCACCCTCACTGGTGGCTACACACTGCCTCTCCCTCCTGCCCTATGCTACTGCAGGCTGGGTTTCTTATTCAGCAACCACAGCAGGCCTGACTGATCTACAGGACCTCCTCCTAACCAGCCATTCACTGCTTTACTGGTGGGATGCCAGTATCCTGGATCGGGGACCACATAGGCTCTTTAAAGCTTGCTCGGAGCTGGGGAAGGAGAGCTTGAGCAACGTTCACAGTATATCAGAGCTGGGAGAGCCTGTAAATCATCCAACTCCACCACACTAGCAGTGAGGGACTGTGGCTGAGTGGGCTCTTAGGCAGGGAGGGCCAGGCTGGACTCCAGGCTGGCTGCCATCTACACATCTGGATTCCCTCCTTCCCCAGACCAATCTTGTCTTACAGGGGATGCATGTAAAATAGGAAGGTAACTGAGGTCCCTCTTTCATCCCTGCTACTGTTCCTATCAGACAAGATTTCTACAGATTATGACTCTAACAGGGAGATGAGGGTCCCTCTTACCTTCTGTAAAAGTAGGTGAAGACTTCAGGGATAAAAGCTGAGGTCCCAAACAGCAACACCCTGGAAACTGCTGTTTCCCTAACAGCCTGGTGAAAATGCAAAGGAGGCAATTTAGTACATGGTGTGAGATGACGTCCAGTGATCCCGACACAGACAGACAAGCAGCTGCCTTTCTCACTGAGAAACAGAAAGCATGAGCGAGAGGAGGAGGCAACACTTCACGTGAACCTTTCCAGCTGCAGGTGTACGCAGGATGGCTGCAGCTGGTGCCAGGAGTAATGGGAGATTTACTTTCCCCTGACTCCACTCTGGTCTCCATAAGCCTGCCAGACCACCTTGAAAACACCACCATCTAAGTATAAGTGAACGAAGCTTCTAGACAAAGCCTTGCTTAGAGGGAATGCTGGATCTGCCACTGAAGTTGGCTCCATATTTCATTTCATTTCATGTCAACCCTGCCACTGGCCTCCAATCCTGAACCTGCTCCCTAGTCATTCTTGTCCTGACAGTGGGAGAGCTACCGAAAGCCCAGCTCTAGGTACACTGGCATGGCACCAAACTGTGCAAGGCCACTGTCCACTCCCAGTCTTCCCCTGTGTACAGTGGTGTGTAAGAGCTGGCCACCAGTGGCCAACTTTAATCCTAGTTACTCAGGAGGCAGAGATCAGGAGGCAGAGAGCCCAGGCAAATAGTTTGAAAGACTGTATTTCAAAAATACCCAACACAAAACATGGATGGTAGAGTGGCTCAAGTGGCAGACTGCCTGCTTAGCAAGAGTTGAGTTCAAACCAGTACCGCCAAAAAAAAAAATAGTGTGCTAGAAAACAGCATTTTGATTTTGCACAGACATGTACAGTTTCTACCATTTTACCATCTTTTCTATACTGTTCATTGTACCATATATTAAGCCTTAAACAGTCAACTCTGTATATTAAACATCTACATGTATCATTTACAGGAAGAGTTATATTTACAAAACCATGCCTCAAGGACAACTTAAGGGACCCTGAAAGTCATGTTAACTTTAGTTTCCAGTCCATGGGTAGACATGACTTCACAAGGTGAAAAAGCACGAGGTGGGACTGTGGCTCAGTGGTATAACACTTGCCTAGTATGTGAGAGGCCCTGGGTTCCATCCCCACCACTACAGGCAAAAAAAACAACAAAAAAGTAGCTAACATTTCAGGGCTGGGGGTAGAGCTCAGTGTTAAGAGTGCTTGCATAGCATGCAGGAGGCCCACCCTGCACCCCAAAAAAAAGTACAATGCCCCTGTGTTCCCTAAGCGTCTGTGACCTGTCTATAACCTCCCTTCCCAGGTCTCTGTGAGCCTGTGGCTCTGCTCTCTCCTCACACCAATGCAGAGCAGAGCAGACCATACACGAGGCACTCCAGCTTGACTCAGGCCATTTCCCCTGCATGGATGCTCTTCACTGCACAAGTACAGAAGGGGCCAAGAGGGTTGTTTTTAAAATAAGGTTTCGGAAGTACAACGTAAAACTGCAAGAGTTCAGGAAGAGAATAGGGGCTGCTGACCCTGAGGTGCTGGGTGCTTCCACGCTGGTGAGGCGAGGCCACCTCTCCATGTGTCCTGTATGTAAGCAGAAGGCATTTCAAAGACTCCTGTCATCAGGAGGCGCTGGAGACTCATTGCAGCTTGCAACTAAGTGGCTTACTGGCCTGTGGGGGAAAAGCACACCGACTAACCTCCTGGAATCTGATCCAAGGTGCCCTGTTACAATCAGATATTGCTGGTTACGCACTTTCTGAAATTTTAGCCAAAGAAAATAAACCTTTCAGTGACAGGGAAACGGTAGAAGAATGCACATGCTTACGCACGGTTGCAGACACTTTATTCTTAAGAGAAAGACAAAGTTTTTTTTTTCTTTTTAAAGCAGACCACTAACCCTTTTCTTTTACCCTAAATTGGCCCTCCTGCAAGAAATGAGGTTCCTGCTGGTGAGATGGGCCACAGACAGCCAGCAGGGCCCGAGGCCCCCTGCCATAGGAGGCTGCACACCTCTAGAGAGCATGGCTCGCACAGCTAAGGACTTGGGTCTCAGGAGCCTAGCATGGTGCCTGGGCAACCACAGGCGATTAAACACTAGTTCTCCTTCCACTCCAGCTTTATGAACCATTCCTAGCAATACTAACACGTGGAAGTTAAAACTGAGTTGAAATGAACTTCAGCATATGTCCACAGGAGGAGCTGCCTGTCAATGTTCCGAGCCGCCTAGATCACAAAAGCCTAAAACTACACAGTCCTAACAAATGTCCACCACCTGGGGAATGCTACATAAAGTATGACACATCACAGACAGGGCTAGAACCCAGCAAGAGGGAGCAAAGAGCCACCAATGCGTGGTTCCAGATGGATGAGCACAAAAGTGGAAGAAGCCACACAAAAAACTACTGTAGGATTCATTTACATGACATTTCTAGAAGAGGTAAAACTAGGAAGCCATACAGCAGAGCAGTTTCCCTGGGGTTGGGTATAGGATAGTAGAGTGACTAAATGGACAGAAGGGAAATAGAAATGTGCTGATAGAAAAAAGAAAAGAAAAGAAAAAGAAATGTGTTAATATTGAAATGTGGTGATGGTCACCCAACTATATAAATTAATTAAAATTCATCAAACTATATTTTAACAATGGGTGAATTTTGAAGTATGTAAGTCACACCTCTGCATATGTCCTGTAAGGGACTGTCTACACCATTCTTGTCATTTGCAAACAACTACCTCACATAATTTTCCAGGAAAGTCATTTCATGGAGATAAAAAAAGACCTCCATGTTAAGTGCATGTCACTTAAAAAGCTCACAGTCAAAACTAACCTACTTAGGGCTGGTGGAGTGGCTCAAGGGGTAGAATGTCTGCCTTGCAAGCACAAGGCCCTGAGTTCAAACCCCAGTACCAGCAAAAAAAAAAACCATACAAAACTGACCTACTACAAACTATATCAGATTCCTATGGTTGAACACACACAGAAGCCACTGAGTTGAACTGAGCAAAATAAACTAACAACAAGTATCACTAAAACTCGAGGACTTTTACATGAGTTTTAAGCCAGAACATCAGATATCCCAAGCCCATCCTTGACATCCCAAAAGATGACAGTAAGAAAATCTGCTATGAGGTAGGAGAAAAGAGAAAGCACAAGGCAGGCTGGGAGGAGAGTGGCTCCCAAGAGGAATCCCAAGCAACACACAGCGGGAGGATGAACACTGAACTTGAAAAACAAGATCTCACACTAGCACTTGGGAAATGCTACCTATGACAGGCAGTCTTCTGAGTCAACTTGGTGGCAATTCCTAGTTAATTAACTAAACACTAATCTAAGTGGTGCTGTGGGAATTTTTTACTGTGTGATACAGTTAACATCTACAATCAGTTGACTTAAAATAGAAGACCCTCCATACTGTGGGTGGGCCTCATCCAATCAGATGAAAGCCTTAGAAGAAAAACAGGTTTCCCAAAGAAGAAATTCTGCCTTTAAGCCTGCATGCCAGTCCTGCTTGAGCATCCAGCCTGCTGGCCTGCTCTATGGAGTTCCAACTTGCCAGCCCACAGTCATGTGAGCCAATTCTTTACAAGGAATCTCTTACAGGTAAGTTCTCACAGTGTACTGGTGCGTGTGCAGAATCTGTTTCTGGCATGGTGAGGGAGAAAGGAGGCATAAACAAGGTGAAGAGCAGGCGGCTGCAGCTCCACCGTGGCCCATACCTTCCTCCCAGCTCTTCTGGAATGGCCTAGGACACTGCCTTCCTTATCCACAACCTCGATCCCTCGGGTGGACTCAAAACTTCGAGATGCAAAGGTGCTCAAGCCACTGACTTGGGCTGTAGAGAAAGAGGAGGACACACAGCAGAGGAATGAGCTTCAGGCCAGCTAAGGGGCATCCTCATGGATGTCTGTCCACTAGAAGCCCTTCTTGGACAGCTGCTCTTCTCCCCCTCAGTGCTCACCTGCCACAGGCCCCCTCCCCACCCCCACTTCCCAAAGCTTTCTCCTGGAGCTATGGAGATAGAACCAGATCTACTAATCACTTGGTCTTGGTCTCCAGCTCCCAGCATTTCTGAGGCCCGTTCTGGCTTCCTGACAGGATATCAGGAGAACCCCCAGGGTCCTTGAACTACATTCATCTTTGCTTAAGATGACTAGACCAGGTTAAGGAATTATGTGCCCTAATATCCTCAATTTCATCACAATGAGATTCTACCAACTCTTCAAACTGACTTGATCCCAAACCCAAACGTGGAACATGAGCTAGTGAACTTGCATGCTGGCAAACTCAAAATCTCTGGTGAATATCTCTGCCACTCTCTCTGGAGCCTGATTACTGGGTTGAGACACCTATATTGCCACTTGCTTGTCCTGAGCAAGTAACTTAACCTCCCTGTGCCTCAGTCTCCTCACTTGTAAATGGGAATTATTTCCTACCCAAAAGTTGTTGTCAGGATGAACTAAAATGATGTATGGAGAGGGTTTGCATGTAGTCTTTGGGGGCTGAGAGTTAGCTCAGGGTGTGTGAGGCCTTGGGTCTGATCCCCAGTACCACCTAAAAAAGTAATTTGTGTTTCCAGGTTTGTTCATCCTTTGACAATTAAAAGGGTGTCTAAGGAGAAAGTGTCACCTCTCAATCCAAAGACCCAGTTTGGGCCTGGGGCACCAGCAGATTGCAAATTGGCTGTCATGGGTCACAATGTGGCCATGGGACCCAAGGTCTTTGGAAAGGAAGAAGGTTCAAAGACCACAAAGATCAGCTCAGCTGCACACTCCCAACCTTTCTTGCTTACCAAAAATGACAACAGGCAAGGCTTTTTTGATCCAAAGGTTATTCCAGGGAATACTTCATTTGGGCTAACTGAGGGAGTAACTGGAAAGTAAGAGAGAAAAATAACTGTAGGCACCAAAACATGAGCTGAACACATCTAACAGCAGGGCTCGCTCTGACCTGGTTCCCATCACTGGCTGGTTAGAAAGCAGGTGACGCACCCATGACTTTTTGTGTTTTAATTCTCGCAACATTGCAATTCTCTCCTGTTCAGACCAGGAGTAAACAGGGCTTACAGAGGCTATGCAACCTCTTTGTCCATGGTCACAGAGCTGTGAAGTGTTTGAGCCAGAATGGGAACTCAGGCTTGTCTGCCTCTAAAGTCTACTTTCCATTTTTTTTTGAGCTAGGCCTTGTTATATAGCCCAGACTGTCCTCAAACTCAAGATTCTCCTCCAGCCTCAGCCTCCATAGTGCTGGCTTTAAAGTGTGAATTTTTAATCATTATAGTATCCTGACATACAAAGCAGGACACAATCTGTACAACAGCTTTATATACCATGGACTAATTTTTGGAAACTTTATTATTTTGGGGCATTACTGGGGTCTGAACTCAGGGCCTTAAGTCCTAGCATAGATGGAATCCTAATTATACTTAAAGCCACACCTCAATAATGTTTTTGCTGGTGGTACTGGGGTTTGAAATCAGGCCTTTGTCCTTGCTAGACAGGCACTCTCTACCTCCTGAGCCACACCTCCAGACCACATGAACTAATTTTCAAAAAAAATAACAGGACTGAATCCAGTCATCCTTTGGTATCCACTGAGGATTGTGCCAGGACCCCCTGGGATACCAAACTCTGCAGATGCTCAAGTCTTTTCTATGAAATGGCATTGTTTTTGCACATAACCTACACCTTAAATCATCTGACTACTTATAACACAGAATTCAATGTAAATGCTATATAAATAGCTGTTACGTTGTGCTGTTTATGGAATAATAAGAAAAATGTCTGTACCTGTTCAGTACAGACACAATTCTTCAAACACATGCAATCCATGGTTGGTTGACTCCAAGATCCCATGGATGGTCACCTGTACGCACCTGCTAACTTAAGACTCGTACCACAACAATTTTGAGGTGATAGGATTATAGGTGGCTTATATTCCCTATTCGTACTCTCTAAATTATTTAGGTTGGAAAAAAATTAATAATAGAATAAAAAAGTTTTGATTCTGAGGAATAAAAAACAATGCAACAGGTTGTAAAATACCTACTCCAAGGAAAGCCGAAGATGCAAACACGCCCCCTCCTAGTAATACTCTCTCTACTGGAGTGTGGCTCTAAGGAAACACGAAAGCATGCAGTTAGCAGATACCATAGTTTTGCCCAGCAAGGATTATTAGAAGAAATAGAAACCTAAACCACAGAACGCTCCAAAACAAATAACCCTAAATCACATCCTCTCTGGGGTTCATAAGACTCACATAACTGGCGTTGCCATTGATGATGGTGAATGCCGTGGTGTAAGCATAGAAGGAAACCTGCAGAACGAGAGGCAAGTGGGTCATGTTTTGGCTTCAAGCAAAATGGAGCCCAGGAATCGTGCAATTGGAAGAACTACTACCTGCGGTAAAACCATGGACATTATTCCTTTGGCTGGCATCATTGACAAGAATACCTTTTAGGAAGAAAAGTAGAGCATGGTTACAAGTGTGGAGGAGACAGAGCTTACAGGGGCAAAGAACTTCCCAGGGGAGATATGGAACTGAGCCAGCTAGAGCTGTGACAGGAGGAAGCAGAACATAGGGAACAGCCCATGTTTGGTGAACACCTAGCACATTCTGAACCAGTGGCCACAAGGACACCAGGGAGCCTCCCTGTGGGCATCTCCAGGGCCTGTAGTCCGGCAGAGTAGCCAAAACCCACAAACTTGCCAAGGGAGGCAAACATGGCCATGTGTGGAAGAAGTGATAGGCCAATAATGGGACAAAAGACGCCCTCCTATAGCCAAGGTGGGATGACCTTGGTGCAGGAAAAATGGGGCAACTCTTGGTCCCAGGTGAGGTGCCATATTCGGGGAGGACGTGGGGAGAGCAGGTTTGAATCTGGAATGTCTCCCAAAAGTGCTTTAATGGGATCTGAATGTGCTAAAGGCTTGTTCTCCAGCTTGGTGATATTGGGAGGTGGATCCTAGCGGGAGGTCTTGAGGTCTTTGAAAGCACATCCTGGAAGAGGACGGTGGTACCCTTGTCTTCCTTTCTCTCTTTGGCTCCCTGGTACTACAAAGTGAGTTGCTTTGCTCTGCTACATGTTCCCACCATGATGTGCTGCCTCACCACAGGCCCTAAGGCAACAGGGCCAACTAACTATGGACTGAAACCTCTAAAACTATGAGCAAAAGTAAACTTTTTTGGCTTTTTGGTGGTACTGGGGATTGAATTCAGAGCTTTGTGCTTGCTAGGCAGGCGCTCTACCACTTGAGCAGAACCCCTAACCCCAAAACCCTTTTTTTATAAATTGATTACCTCAGGTATCTGTAAAGTGACAATTAAACTACAATGGACAATTCCATGGGGCTTACAACAGCAGCACATCTTAACTCACTGATCTCTTCTGTAGTGCTCTTGTGTATGGTGGGGACAGCCTTGTAACATCAGACTTTTGAGAAGCCTGACTGGAGGTGAGGATAGAGGAACAGCAGATAAGGGTCAAAGAGAGTCCATAGCCATCTATCCAGATATGTCCCAGGACATGAGTCCAGAGCTGGAGGGATAGTGAGGTCAGAAGATGGGTTGGACATCTTCCCAAACCTTTACCCAGTTTCCTGATGCAAGCAGCAGCTTACTCACCATGGGTGCTGTTAAGGGGAGAAAAGCTGGAGAGAAAAAAAAAGAGTGTCAGTAACCACAGCTGCCAAGCAGAGGAGGACCACAGGGGCACTGCCCACTGAAGACCTTCTCCAGTCTCCCAAGGGTACAGAACTCAGGAGACATCTTTTACGGTCTTTTTTTCTAATAAAAATAATTGCTATGTACACATAGCAGGAAAGTAAAACAGCTCAGGACATAAAGATCTAACCAGGATGCCACCTGCCAGCCTTCCCAGGCCTCTCCCCACAGACCTCACTCAACCAGCCAGGGCCATTATGCATCATCTCAAGCTTTGCCTTTCCCCCTTAACAGTAACACCTCATGGTGCATCAGTCCATATTAGGACTTACCTCATTCTTTTTTCTGAATTATTGAACTGGAGTCTGAATTGTTAAATATTTGTTTTTGGTTTCCGGTTTATAAGAGACTCTTATGGTTGGAAGGATCATCTCTTGGTGAGACGTGATGAAAATGAGAGCCTGTAATGCTAGTGACTCAGGAGGCAGAAATCAGAAGGATCATAATTTGAGGCCAGCCTGAGAAAAAGTGAGATCTCCATCTCAATCAATAAAAGCTGGGCGGGGCGTGGTGCACAGGTCTGTCATTCTAGCTACCGTGGGGAAGCCTAAATAGAAGTATTATATTTCAAGCCAGGCACTGGTGACTCACGCTTGTAATCCTAGCTACTCAGGAGGCAGAGATCAGGAGGGTCACAGTTTTTCAAAGCCAGCCTGGGTAAGCAGTATTCGAGACCCTATCTCAAAAAACCCATCACAAAAATGGGCTGTTGGAGTGGCTGGAGGTATAGGCCCTAAGTTTAATCCCCAGTACTGCAAGGAAAAAAAAAAAAATTACAGTCTAGATCAGTCTGGGCATAAAAATCCCAAAAACAACTAAAGCAAAAAGGGCAGGTAGAGTGGCTCAAGTGATAGACCACCTGGCTAACAAGCACAAGATCCCGAGTTCAAACCTCAATCCCATCAAAAAAAAAACAGAGACAGATGTCAGTTCTGGAACTATCACTGATATAATCAGTATGTTGAGAGGCCTGATGGAGCAGGGCAAGGACAAGACACAACCGCAGGCCTGTCCCCTTGCTCCCAAAGCCCAGTTCTTTCCATAGGACTGGACTCAGCTCTGGGTCCCGAGTCTGCTCTTCACTGTCAACCCCATAATCTTCAAGTACCTTTATTAAGCTGTGGCTTCCAAAATTCTGGAAATCCTTTAGAAATCCCCTGAGGGGAAAATGACATGAAATAAAGCAGGCAGAGTTTTCTGTTTCAACTTGAAAACATGAGAATCAGCTTACCTGCAGGTCGGAAGACAGCGGGGATCAGCCTGCTGCTGTCAGGATGCACGGTGGACTTCAAAGGGCAGACACAAATGTTAGTTGAAGTTTGGTTTTATTACTTTAGGCTAAAAATTAGGAAGGGACTGAAACTTACGAGACTCATCTTCCATGCATCTTTAATCTAAAGAGGAAAAACAAGTAGATCACAAAGGTGGCTCAGCAGTAAAATAGTCTCCAGGCCAGTCTTCTTTCTTTTTGGCAGTAATGGAGTTTGAATTCAGGGCCTGTACTTGCTAGGCAGGCATTTTTTTTTTAATTATTAGCATAATGATATAAAGGGGATTCACTGTGATATTTCCATATATACATGTAACAGTACTTTGATCAAATTCACCCATCTTCATTACTCTTTCTCAAGTGCCCTCTCTCTTCCTTTTTCCTAGTTTCTGGTGGGTTTCACTATACTATTTTTATACATATATGTAAATGTACTTCTATCACATTCACACTCCCCCCCAATACCCTGTTTTCCCTCTTCTTTCCCCTCATACTACTGGTTCTTCCCAACAGTCCCCTTTTACAATTATGTCATGTTATTTTTTTCTTAGATCCAAATTCCACCTGAAAACAGGTGATATTTGTCTTTTTGAGTTCTGCTTATCTCACTTAATTTAACGATCTCCAGTTCCATCTGTTTTCCTGTGAATGACATAATTTCATTCTTCTTTTTGGCTGAATAATACTCTATTGTGTCTATGCACATTTTCTTCGTCCATTCATGATGGGAACTAGGCTGATTCTGTAACTTGGCTGCTGTAACATGGGTGTGCAGGTATCTCTACAGTATGCTGACTTATAAAATTCCTTCAGACAGATGCCCAAGAGTGGTATAGCAAGGTCATAAGGCAGTTCTATTTTTAGTTTTTTGAGAAGCATCTATATTGATTTCCACAGTGGCTGCACTAATTTACCTTCCCACTAGCCAGTCTTACTTCTGATGCCACTTTTGCCCTGCCATGCAGACAGGGCAGGCCAGAGCTGTTTCCTACTATGTGGATGGAACAAATCAAAGCAAATGCATGAAATAGATCAAACAAATAAATGAACTGTCAACAATCAAGAGATGATCCTCATACAGAAACTGCCCAGAACATTAAAAAGTCCTCCAACCTCCCTCAGATGAGTTTAAAATCAAGCTTACTCCTGGCTCAGAGCAGCAAGGGCTGTATGCAGAGGACAGTGTGGCATTAACCACATCCTTTGTACAGAGCCAAACTGTCAGCCCAGAGGCCACCACAAGTTCTTAGAACTAAGGTAAGACCTTTCCACAGGTTCCCTGGGAGACTGAAGCTTGTAAGCTCTGGAAATCCCCACAGCTGCAAGCAACAAATACTTGGTTTGAGCCCACAAGCAGTAGTGCTCAGAGCACTAATGGAAAAAAGATTCCGGTTTCAGAGGCTGAATTAGTGAGTTTACCATGGGGCACCAGGGGTCAGCTAGGGAGAATTGCCTCTGATACCCATTGCATATGGGAACGCTGCACTAGCGTATGAGACAGAATCCTAACTACACTTAAAAAACTAACCCAGTCTTGCAAAGCTGATCCCCTGGGCAGTACATACGATGACAGGATTAATGGCAAAACTGTTTCAAAGTAACTACAGCCAGCCTTGAATCGTGCACACCTGTGCACATCTGTGCTCATGAGCCATACTTACCCTTTGGTCGTCTAGGTTGCTTCTGGCCGAATCTTCATTGGTGAACAAGAGTTGCCTTGATTTTTCTATTTTTTCCTATGATCAGATATCAAAAAATCAGGCAGCAGCCTCAATGCTGTTCGAATTAATGCAAACATTTAAGCCACTCGAGAGTGAGTCACTTGCCAGCACACACTGTATTTCAGCTGCACATGAGATTTCAAGTCAACGTGTAGCCCGAGGCTCTCCACTCCAAGAGTTCCCATAACAATCCACTGGTCCCTCAGATTTAGACCTTCCAGTTTCCTAGAAGGGCTCCAGCAGCCTCCCACTGGGCCTGCCATCTCCCCAGCTCTCAGATATCAGCTACCTCCCTGGGGTACAAGTCAGAACCTCGGAAATCCCTCCCTTACATATGCCCATGACTGATCAGTTCAGTCTTGTTTCCCCTCTCCTTTTCTTAATTTGTGGGGAAAAAAAACTAAATATAGTGAACGATAACACTAAAGTTATCTTAGCCAGAACTGGCAACTGTGAAATGTCTGGTTACATTTGCTTCTAATTTTATTTTTTAGAAGGAACCATTATTCTGTTTCATTCCCTCCCCATCCTACCAGCATTAACCGCTATTTATGAGTTCAGGTTATATCCTCCCACTTCATATTTCTATTTTTAAATGTACATACATACACAAAACATGTACCTCTAAACAAAAATATGTAGTATTTGTTGTAATGTGCATAGAGGCTACACTTTCTGTACCTTGCTTTTTCCACTAAACATCACAGAAAATCATGCTTTTCCATTTATTTATACATATTTTTTTGGGTGACGGGGATCGAACCCAGGGCCTTGTGCATGCTAGGCAGGCACCCTAGCTCCAGCTCCATGTTTTTCCATTTAACATCTATGTAGATTATGTTTCCACTTAATAAGACACTGATAACTAGTTCCCACTTTTAAAGGCTAAGCAGCTCTCCACTGCTTGGATATACCGTATTATCTACTTCTGGTTATTTGCTGGGGTGTTGCTGTTGGCAGTACTGGGGTTTGAACTCAGGATCTCACTCAGGTAGGCAAGAGTTCATTCTACCACTTGAATCACTGTGCCAACCCTTCCTGTTGTTCAAGATGGGGGTCTCGTGAACTATGTGCCCAGGACTGAGCTTCAGTGCTCCTGATCTCTGCCTCCCAAGTAGCTAGGATTACAGGTCGCAGGTGCCCATTTTGTTTCCTGGATTTTATGATAAACAAAGCCGTAAGGAGCATGAAGGTTACTACAAGGGAAAGGGCAGCTCCTCTACATCCCAGCCACACTGACTCAAACCCTCATCTTCATTGGGACAACTGAGCCATCCCCAGAATTAATGGCCTCGCCCACAGTCAGACCCTCTGACACACAAACCTCCTCAGGGCCCCTGCAGAGTAGGGCTAGCCCAGCTCCCTCAGTGACATACAGGCCCTTCAAGAACAGCTTTCATCCCCTGCATTAGAAGCACCAGTGACTGAGTGAGGCTGTACTCTCCTTGCCCTGGGCTCTGCTTATAGCCCTTCTCACTGATGATTCCTTCCATCTCAGTCCCCTCCTCCCCCCAAACTCCCTGGGAGCCTTAGTCAAGGCTGGTGACTAATTTTACCGTTCAGTCCCGTGACACGGAAGACTAGTTTTCTTGTTTTTGTTTTTAGACAGTCTTACTATGTAGCCCAGGCTAGGAACTCACAATCCTCCTGCCTCCACCTCCTGCATGCTGGGATTTCGAGAGTTGCATGCACCACCATGCCCAGCTGGAAGATTTTTTTTTTTTTTTTTTGTGGGACTGGGATTTGAACTTAGGGCTTAGTGCTTGCAAAGCAGGAACTCTATAGCTTGAGTCACACCTCTAGTCCATTTTGCTCTGGTTATTTTGGAGATGAGACCTTGTGAACTTGTCTCCCAAATAGCTAGGATTACAGGTATAATCCAGCTGGAAGGTGCCCAGCTGGAAGATTGATTTTGAAATTTTTTTTTTTTTTTGGTGACACTGGGGCTTGAATTCAGGGTCTTGCTCTTGTTAGGCAGGTGCTCTACCACTTGATCTACTCCACCAACCCTGGAAGACTGGTTTTGATTCTCTTTGAATCACCAGCACCTGGCCCAAGCACAGTAGCCCCATTAAACTGTATGCTTTTATTTATAAATAAGACCAATAAACTCAATTTTAAAAACCCCATAATTATATAAATAACCTATACATATGCTGTTATTTCAATGCTTTTGAAAGGGGCACACAATCTCTAAGTTTCAAGATGAAATGTGAAATTCATTGTCTCTGAAAACAATACTTACAATTGAAATGACCAGATTTGTAGGATCTAGTAATTCTGTCCAGAGAAGAAATCTCTGAAAAAAAGACTGAAGAGGGAGAAGAGCACCAGAGAGAATGTTAACAGCAAAATACAAGTATGCAGTAGTACTAGTTCACATCTTTATCTTTTATTTTTCTAAAACTTATTAAGCCTCATGAAGGGCTGCCTTTTACCAGGATGATGTTAATTCCAGTGCTGCCTGGAAGCTGCGGCTGAGAAAGGGTCCTGAATGTGCTCAAGACAGCATAGCCAGGAACCACTCAGGATGAAGTTATCCTTGAGGTTAAGCCCAGACTCTGGGGTTAAAATGGGTCATATATCCCTATATGACCTTGAAGCAATGATCTATTCTAGAAGGGTCTAAAAATCTCTTTCCTGGCTCTCCAGGTTGTTGTAAGGTTTAACTCCAGTGATAAAGGACAGTCAACTCAGAGCTCACTACCGCAGCTCAGCTCACATGTTGAAGAAAGGAGGCATGATTTGTCTCAAGCCTCCCAACTCTGCAGGAAACACTTGAGACTCCCCACCTTCTCAACTTTTTCATCCCCAAAAAGCAAGGCTAGGCCCCACCTAGGGCAAGGCACTGCTGTCTGGCCGCAGGTGGCTATGGGGCCAGGTTGAACTGAGATGGGCTGGCTGTAGGTATAACATACACACAGGACATCAAAGACTTAGTGCCAAAAACACGTGCAAAATAATTTTTTAGATTACAGGTCGAAATGTTACCATTTGGCATCTTCTGGGCTAAATATATTAAAATTAATGGCGATTGTTTCTTTTTTCTTTTTAAAATATGCCTCCTAGAAAATTTTAAGTTAACTCTATAGCTCACAGTTCTATTGGACAGGGCTGCCCTAGGCGCTGCTGCTACAGGGAGGCAAGGTCAACCACTTCCTGTCCACAGGTGGCTTTGCAAACCTTGAGGTCTCACTGAGTGACTGAGCCTACGGAGGTGGGAGGCCCGGTTTCTCCCCCATGTGCTGCTCTGCAAAGACTTAGGCAGCAGACACCTGCAAGATCAGGACTCCATAGTCAGGGTGATCTTAAGGGTGACCTTGTGAAGGTGCCTGGCCTGGGGCATAAGTGATGCCCGGTAACAACTCCGGCCTTCGGCAAGCTTGGTCCCCTCCTGGAGCCTGAGGTGAGAGGGCAGGGGATGCTCACTCCCAAGCCACCTCTGGGAGGACTCAGAGGCGCAGGGCAGCCACGTGGCCTGCCAAGGTCACCCGGACCAGCCCGACTCCACTCGGCGCGGTGCACGCCCTCCCCGACCCCAGCCGCGGGGGCCCGGGCGTACTTGGCGTTGGGCGATCCCGAAGCGCAGGTTGGGCTCCATGAGTGCGGCCGGTCCCGCGCTTCTTCCGCCTCTTCCTGGGACCTACGTAATGGCCGCAAAGGCGGGAGCCACCCGGCGGGCCACAGAAGAGAAGCCCCAGATCTTGCGTCCCAACTGTGCCGCTCGCTAGCTAAGAAGCCACGCGCCTGCGCCCCGGTTCCTAAGTCCCCGCCCATGGCTCCCAGTCCCCACCCCTGTCCTCCAGTCCCCGCCCCCTGACCCCAGTCCCCGCCCCTGGGTTCCCGAGTCCCCGCCCACTCTTCCCGTGACTGCCTCTCGTGGGCGGAGTCCTCGCAATACCGCTCTGCACCTTCGGCCCCGAGGGCATCAGACCCGGGGGGCTTCTTCACCTGTGGAACTGCCACATCACAGTTCCTGCTGCGAAGACCCCGAAAAAACGCGGGCGCCGGTGGCTCACGCCTGTAATCCTAGCTACTCAGGAGGCAGAGATCAGGAGGAACTCCGTTGGAAGCCAGCCGGAGGAAATAGTTCACAAGCCCCTATCTTGAAAAAACCCATTACAAAAAAGGGCTGGTGGAGTGACTCAAGGTATAGGCCCCGAGTTCAAGCCCCAGTACCGCAAAATAAACAAAAAACCCCAGGGCGTTTGGGACTCTTTACCAGGCGCACTGGTGTGCAGCAAGATTTTGGTTGAAAGTCTCTACTAAGCCTGTGATGGTCCACGCCTGTAATCCTAGCTACTTTGGAGGTGAGAGCAGAGGATCAAGGTTCGAGGTCAGCCCTGATAAACAGTTCACAAGATACCACACACACACACACACACCCCTTCAAAATAACCAATGCAAAACGGACCTGAGATGTGGCTTAAGTGGTAGAGTGCTTGCTTTGCAAGTGTGAAGCCCTGAGTTCAAATTCTAGTCCCACCAAAAAAAAAAAATGTTTATTCTATTTCCCATAAAAGTCCAGTATACACAGTATTGAGTAAAGTCAGGGCCATCTACAAAATTTACGTGGTCCAGTGTAAAATGAAAATGTGGGGCCCCTTAAAAATTACTGAGACTTTAAAAAAACAAGTATGTCTCTGCTATCTGCCTGGGACTGTCCCATGGCCTTGCTGGGTACAGGATACCATCCCTCAACTTTTTGGTTTTTGTTTGTTTTCTTTTCAACTGTGGGGCAAAGCCACTTCTTTGTTGAATGCCAGATCAGTTAGAAACAATTTATGGAGAAAAACAGGCCTTCCCTTCCTTCTTCCACCCCATACCTCCAGCATCTGATGGGTGGAGGTTGTGTGTGTGTACTTGAATTCCTGTAAGCCATAAGAGTTTGTATGGTGGCTGGGGGGACTCGAAGAGTCCTGAGCTGGTGCCCCTGCACAGTGTTGTGACCTGGTAGTCAGTATCCCCAGGTCTACTAGTTCATCTGTAAAATAAGGGTGATTGTACTACTCTTAGGGAGTTGTTGAAGAGAGAAGGAAATAAAGCATGTAAATAACCCAGCACAGGCCAGGCCCACTGGAGTGCTCCATGTTGGCCATGAACACTAGCTAGCCGGTTCCTCCCCCTGCCTTTCCCACCCAGGAACATGAGAACATGCTCCTGCATTTGCCCAGCTCACTTGGCTCAGGTTTGTATAGCCTTCCTCTTCTAGGAAGTCACCCGACTCCCACAGCTGGGTAAGGTGTGCCTTTCTCTGTGTTCCCATTATTCCTAGATCCACACATTTTGTACTGTAGTATTTAGCACACATTATCCTGTTGGCTCTGTCCTCAGGTGTGTCACAGATCCAGTATAGTAAGCACTCTTTGATTCCCCACTTTGGACCCCAACAGTCTTAAGCAAAGGAGCCAGAGTGACCCTTTTAGAGGAAGTTGTTGTCACTCTTCTGTTTAGCACAGAACCCAAAGTCCTTAGCTTGCCAGGAGGCTCTCTGGGCCCCTGCAATTCTTCATGCTCCAGTTACACAGTCTCCTTGCAATTTTCCATCCTAAATTCATTCTTGCCTCCAGGCCTTTGTACTCGTCATGCCCCAACTGGAAGGTCCTTTTTCCTCTAACTCCCTCATTTTCTACATCTTCTCTCTTCAAATCCCCAAGACTGGTGGAATTACTGTCCTCATGAGAAATAGACCCAGAGACTGACTCTCCCTAAGGCCTTCCCTGACACCCTACCTAGAACCCCTGAGACTGCTCCAGCTCAAGCCCCCTTATTTTCCTTCCTAATACTCTGTATTTCTATCATGCTTATTGGGCTTTCCCTCTAGGATGAAGGTGCATAAAGATGGGGATTTGTCTCTTCTTGTGATTCCAACGAAGTGCCCAAGAGTGGAGGTGTGGTTCTAGTGGTGGTAGAGTGGCTGCCTAGCAAGCATGAAGCCCTGAGTTCAAACTCCAGGACTGCCAAAAAAAAAAAAAAAAAAACAAAAAAAACCTCCCTCCTAAAAAACAAACAAAAAAACTTGAGCAGCTGACACTCAAGGATTTCCTGAAATAATGTTTTCACATCTTTCTTAACCCGTAACCTGGGTTCCAAGTGGTCAGCATATTGTTCCCGGGTGTATATCTACGTGGTGCTCCCCTGGGGGAGGTGCTGCAGATGCACATGGGTGACCTACCTCCTGATGTACCTTTTCCAAGTACTCTGTGGAAGCTGTCAGACTTGGATCTCAGTAAATGTTTGTTGACATAATCAGAAAAGGAAGAACAGAGCACCAGGATTAGCAGACTCAACAGTCAATAATGTGAAAAATACAAGTATTTTAAAATATGTTTATTTCTTGTATTTTACATTAAGCACTTGAAGAATTACGATGATTTCAAAATGCAATCCCTGGATTCAATATACTCCTTTTCAATTACGCTAATCAATATCTAGAAACACAGTAGACCCTAGCTAAGTCAGCTAATGAGTACAACTGTAAACTATAACCCTCGGGAACAGGCTCATGCATGATAACTAAGTCACTTTGCCACCGTGTTTTTAATCACATGATTTACATTTGCTTCCATCACATATACGCTCATTTTGAGAGTTAACTTAGCCGGCTGATGTTAACAACGTAAAAGTACGATGTTTGTTACTTTAAAGGAAAATTCAAAAGAAATTCTAGAAGAAAATTTGGGACCCTTGATCAGAAGCTTTCAGTGTTTGTGCTATTTTGGTGCAGATGAATGTTCAAGTAAGGCTAAGAAGAGAGGGTGTTGCTTTTGCCCACTGAAGACGTGATCTAAGAAACAGGGGAACCAGGCCTTCTGTGAAAACTTGACAGCCATCAAAACATCTCCTTATGCTAGCTACCAACCACCTTAAGAAAGCCTTAGCCAGTGTTACAAAAACAAAACATTTAGAGTAATACTTATAAATAAACATGATTTGGTTTTGCCTTCTATAAATTATCTCTGAAGTGCTAAAAGGGTTCCAGCTGTGGTTCATTCCTGGTATGAGAAGCTGCAAGTACACCAGGATGATTTACTGATGCACCTTCTCGAAGTACTCTTTGGAAGCCATTGGACTTGGCTTGATCTGAAAATATAAAAACATTTGCTCAGCCTGCACCCTTGCTCTGAGGTAGGCTTCATTGATAAATACACCCTGGAGGCAGAGAAGACTTGGGAACCTCTGCTGGGATCCCATTGCTTTGGGAAAAGAACCTACTGTAGGGGAATCTGGTGTCCAGTTTGCTGGGCAGACTTCTCCATGGGTTTCCACAAACTGGAAGGCTTTCACCAAGCGGAGGGTCTCTTCCACACTTCGGCCCACTGGGAGGTCATTGACACTCAGATGCTTGATGACTCCATTGGGGTCAATTATGAAGAGGCCTCTGCATCAAAATTTAGCCTCATTAGTATGTCAACAGCACTAGAACCAAGAGTCTCACACCTTTTTATGTCTTTGATTTTCCTTTTAACAAAGCATTTATTAAATTAAGCTCTGTCATATGCTTAAAATTAGAGTTTTCATTATTGTACAAAAAGCTTTTCATCTCATTAATGACAGATGCTTTAATAATGACAGGACTAGAGCAGGCCACTAGGAAAACATACAATATGGTCACATTTGCAAATTCATTATTTTACCCTGAATGTCACACAGTATCTAAAAGCCAATGAACTAAAGAGTAAAGACTTCTTTACTTACCATGACTTGGCAAGCATTCTTTGTGCTGCTGTATCAAATTTTGGCAAGAAACCACAGGCAAATGGGAAGGGACAAAGCTGGATCTTATCTATATCCAATAAATATTTATTGAGTTAATGCTTGTGTAAATGTGGGAAAAACTCCTGGGAAAATATTTCCTGAGCCCATGTGGAGCAGAAACCTGGGCTCATCACTTCCCATCACTCAGCAGCAATGCCTAGAGATGACCTCCACGCTGCAGGTCTGTGTTCTTCTGAGTGGCTTTTATTGTGACAATATGAGAAGCTATGTTTAACTCAGGGGTTTTAACAATCTTTTTTCTCTATTTTTCTTTATCATTTTTACATTTACTCACATGTGTATACATTATTTCTGCCTCTCCCCCAAACCAATCTTTTTCTTTCTTTTTTTTTTTGGTGGTACTGGTGTTTGAATTCCTCATGCTTGCTAGAAGGAGCTCTACCACTTGAGCCACTCCGTCAGCTCTTTTTTGTGACGGGTTTTTCCAAGATAGAGTCTTGCAAACTATTTGCCTGGGGCTGGCTTCGAACCTCAGTACTTCTGATTGCCACCTCCTGAGTAGCTAGGATTTCAGGGAGTGAGCCACCAGCGCCTGGTTTAACAGTTATTTTTTAAGGGTATGTGAATGCCAGGTGTTAACCACTCAGTGAAAAGGCAAACTAACACTAAGATAGAATGGGGCTTCTCCTTCCCTGGCCAGGCTTTGAGGCTGACCCTGCCCTGGTGCTATACCTGGAGGGGAGCCAACTGGGGTCAACTGAGAGAAGCAGAAGGAGAAGGAGAAGCAGAAGCAGAGCTGGAGAAAGCAGCAAGATACACTAATGTACCAGCCAGACTTAGCACCTCTCCCCTATTAGTCTCAAGGTTGAAATTGATAGGTGTAACTGCAAAACTAGCAAGACCCCACAGGACGGAGACCCTTTCTCCTGCGCTGAAATTCCAGGTGTAACCCAAGAAAAGAGCAGGCCAGCTGGTAATCACGAGGCAAGGCAGGTGTTCTGGGTTCAGGCCTGCCTTCAGGAAAACTGCAAGACACCTCGAGGTAGGGCCATCTCCTTCAAACCCGTTCTCAGCGGATGTCAAGATACTAGCTCTGAGGCCTCTGTTCTGGTCTCTCAGGAAGCCTGTAGAAGACTGAAAGCTTTTCATACCCCCACGGAATAAGGGAGGGCAGAAATGACTTTATAGGATAGAAAGTCAGCTGCAACAGCTGCCAGGAACTGTGCCCAAAACTCCAGCTGCGTGGATAATTTAATCCTCACCACAACCTATGAGGTCCATCTTCATTTTAATTACTATGGGAAAACTGGGGCTCAAAGAGGTAAATAACACAGTGATTAAGTAGCTGAGTTAAGACATAAATCAATAAATCAGTCTGACAGCTTCACCTCCAGGGGTGTCCCCCCGCCCCCCACCACACTGCTTCTGAATTGTAAACCAGAATGAAGCAGTTTGACTATCAAGATATGGACAGAACCAATTAAAAAAAAAAAAAAAAGACATGGACATCCTTCTCCAAGAGGAGATCCAGCTGGTGGACAGGAAACATACATCTCAGTCTTTTCTGATTGCCTGCCAATACTCAACAGGAGCATTTCAACAGCATTTTTTTTTTTTTGCTGCTGCTGCTATTGTTTTTTGGTGGTACTGGGGTTTGAACTCAGGGCCTCATGCTTTCTAGGCAGGCTTTCTACCATTTGAGCCATTCCACCAGCTCCCAAAATTAGGGATTTTTTTTGCTTTTAAAAATGCTTTACAGGGGGATGGGGAAGGAGGTGGCATAAATAATGTACACACATGTAAGTAAATGAAAAAACTATAAAATAAAAGGAGAAAAAATGCTTTACAAAAATAAATTCTAAAAGGTTTAAAAGACAAAGATACAAGAGAAAAACCATAGCAACAAAAAATGCTTTTACAAAGTCCATATAAAGCCCTTAAGAAGGAGGACAGTGCTAACTATGAAAACCGTTTGAAGTTCACGAGGAACAGAATCTTACCTGAGTGCAAGACCAGGACCTTCTAACAGCACACCGTAGTCCCGGGAAATTTGTTTAGTTAAGTCAGACAAGAGTGCAATGTTCATGTTGCCCAAACCGCCATTCTAACAAAAATGCAAACATGACTGGCTGTGTGGGGTATCTCACAACTTTCTGGACCATATAACAATGTTTGAAACCAACAATAATAAGTAACAGTATACCAGGCACAAATGTATTCTTTCTCTTAACTCACTTCTTCAACCATCCTGGAGTAGATATTATTACCATGTCCATTTTAAAGATGCAGAAGCTGAGGGACAAAAGTTAAACATCTTTCTTATCATAGCTAGCAAGAGGCAGAGGAAGGACTTAAATCCACTGACACTGTTGACCTTTTTCTAATTTTAAAGCATTCTTTGAGTTGAAGTTAATTTCTCAAATGTAAAAATGGAAGAGTAATAAATACTGAATTATTTGGTATTGACAGTCCTGTAGCATAGCTAGAAAATGTGATTATTTCCAAGCAAATTTCTAAACAACACTGATCATGAAGAACAGTGAACTCAACTATAGTAGCAAAAGACACCCAGAGTACATGAGATTTACAATAAGCACAGGAGCTACAGGAGGCAACAGATTCCAGCTGTGTCTGCTACACAGTGAGCCTCTCCACTACTGCCTGTACCATGGAATACAAGTGCAGTGGGCAGTAAATACACATGCAAGTCAAGGAGATGCAGAGAGTTTACACACGGCCACACTGCCAGTAGGTTAGGATCTATACATAGCCATTCCCGACTCATCATGCTTTGACAAGGTCTAGATTGGTCTTTTATGGCTCCACTGTGTTAGATCATAAGTGCTGGAGGCAGGGGTGAGTGGGAAAGTGGGAGATGTTGGTCAGTGGGTACAAAGTTAAAGGTAGAGAGAAGGAAAAAGCCTGGTATGACTACATTAATAATATTTTGTACCTTTCACACTATCTAAGAGAAGATTTTAAATGTTCTCACCACAAATGATTAATATTTGAGGTGATGCAAGTGTTATTTAATCTGATCTGATCATTTGACAATGTACCCAAATAACAAAACATTACACTGTACCCCATAAATATACACAATATATTTTTACTTCATTAAATAGTATTTGTCTATTAAAATAAAACAAAACAAGATCTATGTGTAAAGCAAGGTGCATGGTGATCTACCTTCCTTGGTGTATTGATCCAGGCAAGATGGCTAAAGTGAGAGTCAACTGAAACAGCAACAACCTCACAGTTCACGTCGTGAAATTCATTGGCTTTGTCACTGAAAGCAACAATTTCTGTAGGACACACAAAGGTGCTTGAAAAAAAAAAGTGAAAGTTTCATCAGATAACTGAAAAACAAGAATTTAAAATGTGAACAATAAGCAGTATAAAACTAGTTAGATTTGCTTAAAAGGTGAAAGGGAAAAATGGCCAACCATCCTCGCTGGACTTCAGTGTTACATTGGGGGAGGGGGGAGTCCATTATCTCCAATCATCTTTTTATTGAAGAAATTGACCAAAAAAAGGGGGAGAGCACATTCTAGAGTTTTTTTTTTTTTTTAAACTATACTTAAAGTAGATTTAAAAACAACCAAACAACCCCAAAACTCATTTTTTTTTCTTTTTTGTGGTACTGGGGTTTGAACTCAGGGCCTACTCCTTGAGCCACTCCACCAGCCCTTTTTTGTGATGGTGTTTTTTTTAAGATAGTGTTTCACAAACTATTTGCCTGGGTTGGCTTCAAACTGTGATCCTCCTGATCTCTGCCTCCTGAGTAGCTAGGATTACAGGCATGAGCCACCAATGCCGAAAACTCATTTTCTTCTTCTTACTTTTCCCATTTTTCCCCAGACCAGTGAAAACTTCTGCACTTCAGGAACCACTGCTCCAAATTGTGTCAGATAAAACCACATTAAACTCTACTGATAAAAGGAAGGCCATTTTCCCCACCAAGGCCATTATTTGTAAATTAGTGACAGATGAACAAGGCCACAGCAACAAGGGGTCAGAAAGAATCCCCGCTCCTGGCAGGAAGGGGGGTAGGGTCAGTGCTTGCTCTTAGCATGACATGAGAGCATCACAGGAATCATACTTACAAATCCAAAGGATAGAAGAAAAGCACCAAGTATTTCCCCTTAAAGTCATCGAGGCTTAACTCTTTGAACTCTCCATTGACGACAGCTGTGCCCTTAAAGTAGGGCGCGGGCTGGGTGACAGCAGGAGCATGGCAAGAGGAACCTGAAAAAAACCACATCATTCACCACATCAATCTCCTCATGATAACTGATTAGAAATATAAATTGTTAGTAGGCTAGCTCAATGAAAAAATTCAGTTCTTTTTTTTTTTTTGCAGCACTGAAGTTTGAACTCAGGTTTTCATGCTTGCTAAGCAAGCACTCTACACTTGAGCCACTCCAGCAGCCCTTTTTTGTGTTGGGTTTTTTCAACATAGGGTGTCTCAAACTATTTACCCGGGGCTGGCTTTGAACAGCAATCTTCCTGATCTCTGCCTCCTGAGTAGCTAGGATTATAGGCGTGAGCCATGGGTGCCCAGCTCGATTTTATATCTCAGGTACAGTAATTTTTCCTTCCACACAGTTCTAAATCGTACCCAAATTCGATTCAAAGTGCTATGGAGAAATTTTTTAAAAAGAAAACCAAGACTAAAAGAAGTGCTACAGAAACTAAGAGGAGGAAGAATTAAACGACATGAGAGGAATTAAAATGACTTGAGACTAGGAGCTAGGCTCTAAATATGGTTCAGATTTCAAGTATAGATGGGACAATGAAAAAGGCATGGAGGAATGGCAGGGCAAATGTGTTTGTCACAGGAATTGTCTGGGCACAGTTTGATTAGACCCAACAGCCTAAGGGGAGACAAAGCAAGCCAGAAGGGTCGAAGGCCAGGTCAGGCAAGTCCCTCAGTATCCTGCAGCTGAGCCTGCTCGTTATAGGAGATAAGAGAGTCAGGGGAGGGCTTTTTGCATCAGAGATGCAGAGGAGACTGTTTTCAGGAAGATTAATCAGTCAGGAGCATACGACTGATGTCAGGTGGTGATTTCACTTATCTCAGTGAGAGGTTTTGTGGTGTGGCAGAGGAAACAGAAAGAAAAGAATGGATGCAAGAGATGTGTAAAGACTGGAGAGAGGGCTCAGGGGTAGAGTATTTGCTTATTATACATGACGCTCTGGGTTCCATTTCTAGCACCAAAAACCTTCCCCAAACCTGGAAAAGACTTGCTTCTATCTGAGATTGAGGGACAAAGGAAAGTCTGCCTCAAACTGTTATCTGTGACTGCCACAAAGACAGAAGGATCTCTTGAAGGCAGGGGCTTGGGATCAGCAGACGAAAGTTTATGGTATCAAATCACTACTAGAAATATTTTCAGGGAGGGGGCAGAGGGCAGGGGGGGTAAATGGTCCCAACAATGTATGCACATATGACTAAGTAAAGAAAAAAATAAAAATAAAAAACAAAAAAAATGTGAAAATTTTTTTTAGAACATTTCACTAAAGTACCCTCTCAAACCATTAGTTATTAAATTTTTAGAGGCAAGGCAAATCTAAAGGAGCCACTTTCAGTTACCACAAGTTACCTGCAGCTGATTTTGGTGAAGCCCACAGCCTACAGATGAAATGCAAAGCTCAAGAAACAGCTGGGCTTCACTCGATCTCGGAGGATGCCATGGGACCACACCTACCAAGTGGCCACCTAGAGCCAGCAGCAAGGTTTGCTTGCTCAGAGATGGCCCACCACTCACACCCCTTCACACACAACAGACCTAGAAGGCATGGAGGATTAAAAACTGCAGCAACCAACAAGGAAACATGACACAGACTAGGGCAGTGCACTACCTAGGTGATTTTCGCCCCTGAGGGCACATTACAATTACCCAGTAAGCTTTTAAAAAATATTGATGCCCTGGTCTCACCTCACAGACTGACTTAATTTGTCTGGGATGGGACTGGGACAGTGTTATGTTTTTATTTATTTTATTCAGTTGTCTTCTTATTAGAGTTTTTATAATTCTTTAGATATCTTAGATAATGGTCTTTGTTATCTATGAATATTTTCTCATAGCTATGGCTTCATCCATTTTCTTTGTGTTTTCTCATGGGCAATCTTAGTTTTGATGAGGTTAGTAACCCACTGTTTGCAGATAATCCCTCATGGATCTGGCTATTTCTGCACATCTTCATGTTATGTTTTTAAAGTTCCCAGGAGAATCTAATGTATACCCAGGGTTCAGACACTGTCCAACCAGAGATGATGATTTGTGTCTCCTTTACCTGAATTCAGCCTAGGCACAACAACTTACTGGTGCTAAAGGTGAATTTTGCTTGAGCAGAGCCAGACCCCAGTATATTTGTCAAGCATGTTCTTCTAGAGGCAACAGGCCTAAGGGCTGCAGAGGCAGAAATGCCCCGAGAAATGGTGCTCACCTGTCGAGCAACCTGGAAGAGAGAGAAGGTTTATATTAGGAAGGCTCTCAAGAAGGGTGACTGTGCTGGGCACCAGGGGCTCACAACTGTAATCCTACTTACTTGGTACTCTGAGACTGGGAAGATTGAGGTTTGAGGTCTGTTCAGGCAAATAGTTCATGAAACACCCCATCTCCAAAATAACCAGTGCAAAATGGACTGGAGATGTGGCTCAAATGGTAGAGCACCTGTTCTGCAAGTGCCATGCCTTGAGTTCAAACCCCAGTCCCACTAAAAAAAAAATGAAGGGTAACTGAGCTGGCTCTGCTGAAAGGGCATAGTGCCAATGGTGGCCTTAGCTGTTCTTGTACATGTAAACCAAATACCAAACCCAATAACAGCATAGATTGGGTCTCCATGTTGTTAACATTCCCTCTGCTTCCTTCCTCAAGACTGCAAAGCAGAAGGGAATGTAAGAGCACAAATACTCAAGAAGCAAAAATTATGCTCTTAAAAGCGACTCAGAGGGTTAAAAAGTCAGGGAGACTGGGGCACTGGGTACTTAACCCCTTTTCTTGCGCCACGCGCTGTTTGTGTTCCACCACGTCAAGGTTTTCCTCAGAAGCGACAAGGCCCTTCCAGCCCCACAAACAAACAAGTAGGGCAAAGTTCGCGTTCTGGAGTTTGGATGGGGCTCAAGGAAGTGTTCGCTCAACTTTAATGTTCAGCATGACACAGGGAGGATAAAAGGCCTGCCTTGAACCCCAAGCGAGAAAGGAGGAGGAGTGGGGAGCAGGAGGGCACTGGGTTGCGCCCGGAGCAAAGCAGGTAATCACAGCCGAGACCCGCCAGGGGATGGGAGAAAGCGGCTTTTGTTACAGTAACGCTTTGTTTCCAGCCAGCATTTAAGAGGGTGCTCACAGCAACGCTTTGATGCGGGCATCACTCTTTTCATCTTAAGGGGAGAAACGTAAACTGGGGTTCGGGAAGGCAATGTCGCTTGCCCAGGGTCATAGAGTTGGTGACAGAAGCTGGACCAGGAGCCAGGATGCCTGCCTCCAAAGCCAGGGCAGGTGCTTTAGTGGAGATGGGACTAGGCACCCGCAAACTCGGAGCACGAAGGGACTCGGGGAGGGGACAGAGCCAGGGGTAGGGACAGGGAGGTGCTGCGCAGGCGCGGGGAGCCTTCCTGGAGGAGGCCTCTGGGTCCGTTACCTCTGATACCCTCCAAGAAGAGCGAATGACCCCTCTCCCCCAGGCCCAGGAGAGCGCGATCCTGTCTGAGAAGCAGTTGTCAGAACCACCGCTCTGTCTCCGCGCCTGTCCTCGCAGGCAGCCACTCACCGAGGCCCGGAGCAACCTTCCCGCAGCAGCCGCCATCTTCAGCGCACGCGGGAGCCGCGGCGGGCGGAGGTGGAGCTTATGGAGGAGGGGCGGGGCCTCTGTGATGGGGCGGAGCTTAGGGGGAGGGAAGGTGCCTCGGCGTGCGGGGTGGGGCGGGTCGCGGAGAAGCTCCCTCTTCCTGCATTTGGGGGACCCAGAGGAAAAGAGTCCTTTTACAACTCCTGACCTAAAAAGAACCAATCCAGGCGGGGAGCTGGATATCTATTTTCATTTTTCCTTCTGATTTGTTGCTAGCTTTGTGTGGATAACTGTTTCTGTCTGTGAAAGGGCCCGTTTCCTATGTTGTCCTTGGGTAGAGCCTTCTGGCTTCTGCATGAAATGGAATTAATTATTAATTCAGTTTTAGTTCGCTAATAAGCTAAGTGGCTCGGATACATCAAAGCTTTTTGATCTGAAGACCTTTGGGATTGCATGTGGGCTTCCATTTTTAACCTCTCTTCCTTCTCAAAATTGGGACAAATTTTAAAATTTTGGTTTTTGACAATTAATAAAACCAAGTGCTCAGGGGTGAGCATGGGATTTTGAAGCAGCCCATCAAACGTAAAAATCATACTGTGGTCTAACGGTAAATGTGACAGATCACTATCTCTAGATTGGTATTTTTCAAGTGCCAATTATGCCGTTACCAATATAGTTTCTCAAGTCTGCATATCACTGGAATACTGTTTACTGTTCTCCTTAAACTAGCTCACTTTTCAAAAACATAAATGAATGCATTTGAAGAAAAATGTCAAACAACTTAAATAGAAAAGCCTTAAACTTGCCATAAAAAGAAAGTAATTTAAAATAAATACATTAGGCCAGGTGCTGGTGGCTCATGTCTATAATCTTAGCTACTCAGAGATCAGGAGGATTGGAGTTGGAGGCCAGCTCTAGCAAATGGTTCTTGAGACCCTAACTCTAAAATAACGAACACAGAAAAGGGATAGCAGAGTGGCTCAAGTTGAAGAGCATTCGCCTAGCAAGTGTGAGGCCCTGAGGTCAAACCCCAGAACCACAGGAAAAAAAGAAAAAAAAAGAAGTTCAAGTAAAATGCTATGAGACTTTAGAGAAAGAAAGTCTGAGAGGTGGGTGAGGCTGGGAATGTAGCTCAATGGTAGGGCCTAGAATGAACCAGAAAAAAAATTTAAAACTTCTCTAACAAAACAAACCAAACCAAGAAGTTCCATAGACAGATACATCTACACTACTACCTTGGAAGGGGGACAGGAGATGCCAAAGGGGGAGATGACAGGGAGAAGTAATCAGTGACCTTGGTCCTGGTTTATATGGTAAAAATTGGTTTACTGTCAGTAAGTATTTGGTGAAAATTTACTATGGGGATAAGCTCTGGGTCCTATCACAACCCTTTGAGATAGGTACTGTGTTTCATTAATCACCCTCATTTCACAGGTGAGGATGCTGGGAGGTTTAGAAAATGCTCCAAGTCCCAAGGCTGGAAAGGAAGGAACCAGGATTTAACCCCTGACAACTGAATGCAGAGCTGTGTTCTCAACATGATGCTGTACCACTTCTCCGACTGATGGGCATAACAAATGCTCCTAGAAAGGTGGTCTGAGACTGAACCTGGTAACATGCTGACCATCTGTCACCCTGTGGGGAGTGGATTATGAGAAGCCTATGAGAACCTGACATAAGCACAGTTGTGCTCAGTGATCTACGGGCTGAGTTTGGCACGGCCCCAGCCACAGAAGAGAGTGAGAGGCAAAATGCAGCACAGCTGCTTTTCCTGAGTTGTTTATGTTCAGAGAAGTACAATGCAGGTGTCACAACTGTCCTGGAGAACTGATGCTTCACCTCCTTGTTTACCACTGGATATAAAAGACTCAATGAAGGAGGATGGGAGGATTTTTGATGGTGATGGGGGATTTATGGAAGGTTTTTCTGATGAGGGATTGATTGGTGGGCTGTTGTAGCTGCTGTTGAGTTATGCTAGAGATTAGAGGGGACAGTGCAAGTCTGAGGGCCAAGACTCTAAGAGAGATTATGCTAAAGAAAAGCGAAAGAAAACATGGGACAATGTGAGTCTAAGGAAAGAGACTTTAAAGAATAGTGAAGAAGTAAGGCCTTAAAGAATAGAGAAGAAAAGAACAGAAGTAAAAGAAGAGTTATTAGAGAAAATAAGCAATGAGGCTGTTGTGCATCTCCATCTGAGTGCTCAACACACCTGACTCCAACTTTCTGCATTTCTGTCTTCTATCGTTTGTCCTTTCTGCATCTTCAGTCGCCCCTAGTTAGGTCAGGAGAACCAGGAGCGTGAGAAAGCTTGCTGCATCACCCTTCAACAGGACATTCCACTCCCAGGCCTGACCAGGATGCTGTTCTTTGATGCTAGATCCTCTGCTCTTCTGTTGGAGCCATTCTAGTGAGTTCTGTACCTTCAATTGATGCTGCTTGTCTTGGGGTCTTGCCTGGCTGTGGACCACTCTACTCTCAGCACTCTTTTCCTTTTTTCTAGAGTCTGTCTGCTCCTGTCTTCTTGCCAGCCTGATGTCATTCACTTAGTCACAAGGACCAGAAATGTCTCCAGACATTGTCAAATGTTCCTGGGTAGGGTGGGGGCACAAATCACCCCCAGCTGAAAATCACTACTCTGATGGTAATGGCACAGACTCTGGAGCCACTAGGACATGGGGCCAAATTCCTGGTGTGTTGCTTATGGTCGTGGAGGGTAGGGCACAAGTCTTAGACATCATGGAATCCTGTATGGCTAGTCACTTTTCAGTACCTCAGTTTCCTTACTGTAAAATGAGAGTAACCATGGGCTCTACCCTGGAGTGTAAGATGTGAGGAGTGGCATAGTGCATGCACACTGCTGAAGAGGCCTATGGTTTAAAGGAATGCCCTACAGGGTCCCTGGATTAAGGGCTTGGTTCCCAGGGTGACACTACTGGGAGGTGCTGTGGACCTTAGGAGGAGGGGCCTTATGGGATGTCCTTAAGTGACTGGAGTGTGTCCCTGAAGGGGATTGTGGGACTCCAACCCTTCCTCTTCTCTCTTTTGCTGCCTGTGCCACGTGCTCCCCACAATTGCCATCTGGTACCTCTATATCACAGGCACAAATAATGGGTCTGCCTGAGCTTGGGCTGGATCTCCACAATGATAAGCCAAAATAAACCTTTTCTCTTCATAAATTATTTATCTCAGATATTTTGTTATAGTGATGGAAAGCTGACTAACATGAAGGGGAGGTAACCAGGCACAGAGTATGTTAAATAAACATTAATTCCCATTTCCCCTCAAGCAGGTATACTACTTTTCCAGACTGGTGCAGGCTTTGGTTATATTTTGTTTTTTCTCAAAATGATGAGAAAAACTTTCATTTACGAGCAAGGGATGAGGCATTCATGCAAACACTGATCCCTAAAAAGCCTCAAACTGGGCTCTTCTGGCAGCTAAAGTTCTTGCAGACAAGGCCAGGGTTATACTGGAGGCCACCCACCTGCTTGCCACAGTCACAGCCCAGTGTCCGCTTCACGGCTCTGTTACTGGGCTGGGCTCTTACTCAAGCAACCTTGGCATTGTTTTTTCTTTTAAAGCTGACCATGAGAAATAAGGATGACCACAGTGGTAGAACACATGTCAGACCTCCACCTACTTGAAATGGGCTTTAGTTATGATAGAAAAACATCTTGTCTACTTCTAAGATTGATGTAGATTTCTCTTTCCTACTTGTGTTCACAACAGATTGGGGTGATTTTAAGAAAAGTTGTTTTGTCAGGTGAAAAGAGTTAATTTCCATTATATTAACTTGTGTCTGACATTTATTTGTTTGTTTGTTTGGTGGTACTGGGGTTTGAAGTTAGGACTTTGTACTTGCTAGGCAAGAACTCTACCCCTTGAATCTTGCCTCCAGCTGGTTTTGGTCTGGTTAGTTTGGAGACAGGGTCTCACTTTTTTGCTTCTGCCAGCCTGGATGACAAGCCTCCTACTTTAAGCTTCCCACCACAGCTGAGATGACAGGCACAAGTCACCATGCCCATCTTTTTCCCACTGAGATGTGGTCTCACAAATTTTTGTCTGGGGTGGCATTGAACTGTGATCCTCCTGATCTCAGCCTCCTAAGTCACTAGGATTATAGGTGTGAACCAACCACCACCAGTGCCCAGTGTGAGACTTTATTTATTTTATTGTGGTGCTGGGGATCAAACCCTTACACATACTAGGCAAGCACTGTCACTGAGCTATATCCCCAGCTTCCCTCACATTTAAAATACTTTCTTTTTAATCTATGGTTTAGTTTTCATCTTAAAAATATATATAGGCATCTTTTTGCTTTTTCCTCACTGTAAATCAAGCTAGGTAATTTTGTTTTTTTTTTTTCTTTTTTGAGACAAATTCTCACTATGAGCTCAGGTTGGCCTTGAGCTCACTATGTAGAACAGGCTGGTCATGAACTTGTGATCCTCCTGCCTTAGCCTCCCAAGGGCTGAGGTTATTCTGAACTAGGCACCATGAATCTCAGTCATCAACAATCATTATTCATGTTAGCATTTTAGGAATGCTCAACAAATGTTACTATTTGTCTCCACCCAGCAGAGAGGCACAACACACAGCCCAGTTCCCAGGTCTTTCATAGATAAAGTTTCACTGCTTACACTTTGTGGTCAAATGGCTTCCCTCAAGTCACACCTGGAGCTCTCCAGGGTGCATGTTGGTCTCTGACACTTTTCTCCTCCTCCTTTTCTCCTCCTCCTCCTCCTCTTTCTCCTTGTCTTTTTTGGAGGTCCTGGGGAAGAAACCTAGGGCCTCACACATGCTAGGAAAGTGTTGTACAATTGAATTATACTCCTAGCTCTGGCACTTATCTTAAAATTCACTAGATCTCTGGCCTGTTGAGATTTGCAAAGTGAGTGGCCTCCTGATAATTTTTTTTTTTTTTTGGTGGGACTAGGGTTTTGCGCTTGCAAAGCAGGTCCTCTACTGCTTGAGCCACACCTCCAGTCCATTTTGCTCTGGTTATTTTGCAGATGGAG